CCAGTATTCCAGGGAACAGATATGTGTGGCTTGAACAGGATGAAGAACAAAGCCAGTCATATCTTCAACTCGAGGTAGAGTCCTCTGAGCATCCTCTCTGAGGGAGGTGAAAATGGCCATAGTCAGAAAGTTGAAGAAGCTGTTTTTCAACCATGCATGTGTATCAGGAAGATTCAGCTCTACTGAAGTACAGATGCATTCTGCTTTGTTTTTGTTCTGTTTGGGGGACAGTGGAAAGCACTTAACTAGCTATCTATTAATCAAATGGTAACTATTTTTAAAAATGTGTTTTGAACAGCTATTAACCTTTAATGAATGGGCATGTTTGTGATTTCAGGAAGGCTGGGTATCTTATATTGATATACCAATATCTTCCATAAAAGGTTTTCATATTATTTTTTAAAGTAATCTGTGGTGAAAAAACTTTTACAAAATATTAAGAGATGATTCAAGTTCCACCAATTTTAGTGGGAGCAAGACTGCATTCTGAGGTTTGATTTATCTGAACTTATTTTAGCTAAGAAGAAGAATCTGTTCCTATAAGTCTACTGATGACAGAATACTTGCTGCAACAATTCATTTCTTTTTCAGGACTGTTAGTATGTTATTTACTAAACATGTATGTATAAAAACACAAGTGATTCGGAAATAATTGTCAGTGTAAACTACTGCAATGCAATATTTCTGGGCATAAAACCAGTAACTCTTTTAAAACTCCAGCAAGGCTACAGCCAAGTACTTAAATTCCTTATGAGCTCGGGCTCTGGCAGAGTCTACTGCACTCCATTAGAGATGCTGGGGGTTAATTTAGGCACAGCTGAGATAAGGAGGCAGGACCAAAACAGTGATAGGATAATTGCAATAGGGTCTTCCACTACTAGAACATCTTTGCCAGTGCTGGCAGTCCTGAATTTCAATACTTATTATCTAGAGAGTTGGCTCTTGATAGCCCTTCAGACACACCCTTTCTTGGAGTCGTGGCTGCTAGCTCTGCCTTGCCTTGGGAATTCTGTGGCAACCAAGGTACTTCTTGTCACTGAAAGTGTAAAGATAAGAGAATCTCAGAATTTAAAGCTGTGGATTAAATTAGCCAAGAAAAACTAATTAAAGAAGAGGAATTACATTGTATCTCTTCCTTAGATTCCTCTAGAGAACACTTGGTGTTTTCCTTCACAACACTGTTACAGTAAACCCTTGTCCTCCCTTGCTGTAGATCTAAGTTAATTAGTTTTTCATGTGTTCTCAGCTATTTGTACAAGCTAGCAATAAACATCTGGAAAGGTTTAATACACAGCTCTTACCTAACAAATGTTTTAGTTCAAGGAAAGACATCAAACTGCCCCTGTTTTTCACAATCAAACACTGAATTTTTCAAATGAAACTGAAATGATCTTCCATTAGACACACTTTAGAGCTAGCAATAAGATTTTTTTTTTAATTTATTTTTTTATCAAAAAGCAGGGAATGGGATTTAGAAGTAAGTAATCCTAGATTTTCCTTAAGATCTTAAAAACTGCTGACAGACATTCCTGGAGCATGAAACATGCATTCACACAGAAAGAAAGCAGTCTAGGTAGAAATGGTTCATGCAAAATGCTTCACAGCACTACTTGACCCCAGAAAACAGTGGATGTAGATGACAAAGGTGTCTATTATCCAGCAGGTGCACTGAGGTTTGATGTGAGTTGGACTTAGGCTAGCTGCCTCTAAAGTCACTGAGATCTTTCCTTTGGCTTCGAGTGAGAGACACAGTGATGTGCACCCACTAACAGACTGTCCTGCAGAGTTCTTGGAGATGAGCACTGCTAGGGGGCTGCCAAAACACTTGCTGTAGGGTTCAGAGACTGTTTCGACTCTTCCTTCTCTCTTCTTCTGTCTCATGAGAAAGAGCAGGTCCCTAGAGCGGAGAGCTAACCACGTAGAAAAGAGCACAAAGGTCAGCATGGGAAGGTAAAACAGACAGTTAGGGAACACTGACCTTGCACAAAGTAAAGGTGATACCAATGAACAGAAGGTGACACCTGGATGAACTTGCATCTGCAGAGAACCCCCCTTTGACTAAAGACCCTAGTATGGTGTTACTCTATCAAATCAGCTTCTCAGTTCATGAAAATTCTTGGATTTGTCAATGATGGACAGCCTGATACAACAACATTAGCACAATCTTCAGGGCCTTGGACAGTGCCTTCACTTGACAGGCCTGACCAAGATCTGGACTATGATTATCCAAGCATGAAACTATCAGCCTTCACAGAACTATCATAGACTGCTACCAGATTCTTATAGTAACACAAGCTTTGCTCAGAGATTTGGTCTAGTTGAGGGGAAGAGGAGAGATGGGCAAGAATGGCTGTATGATACAGATGACAACTGTATCATAGCAATTAAAATCTGCAGCCTCTGGAGTACTGCCCACTGGAGCATGTGGATACCCCAGGGAAGCTGTAACTCTGTGGGAAGCCCATGCTGCAGCAGGCTCCTGGCAGGACCTGTGGCCCCATGGAGAGAGGAGTCCACGCTGAAGAAGGTTTGCTGGCAGGACTTGTAACTCTACAGAGATCCCATGCTGGAGCAGCCTGTTCCCAAAGGACTGCACCCTGTGCAAGGGAATCCACACTGAAGCAGGGAAAGAGCATGAGTCCTTCCCCTGAGAAGGAAGGAGTAGCAGAGACAGTGTGTGATGAATTGATCAAAACTGCCATTCCCCATCCCACTATCCTGCTCAGGGGGAGGAGGAGGTAGAGAACTCAAGAATAAAGTTAAGCCTGGAAAGGAGGAAAGGGTGAGGGAAAAGTGTTTTAAGAGATGGCTTTATTTCTCATTGTCCTACTCTGATTTGGCTGGTAATAAATTCAATTACTTTCCCCAAATAGAGACAGTTTTGCTGTGACAATAATTACTGAGTGATCTCTCCCCATCCTTATCTCAATCCACGAGCCTTTCCTTTTATTTTCTCTCCCACGTCCAGCTGAGGAGGGGAGTGATAGAGTGGCTTTGATGGGCACCTGGCATCCAGCCATGGTCAGCCCACTGCCTGTAGGGGTGGAGAATGTGCTGGAGTTGGAGTTGGAGTTGGCTGGGGTAAAGTGCAATTTTCTTTTCAATGGCTGGAACAGAGGTTTAGTTGGGGTTTGTGCTGGAAACAGTGTCAAAAATTCAGGAATGTTTTCATTATTGCTGAGCAGTGCTTGCACGGAGTCAAGGCCTTTTCTGTCTCTCCCCCCACCCCACCATCAAGAAGGCTGGAGGGGCACAAGGTGGGAGGGCACAGATGGGACAGCTCACTCCCACTGACTCAAGGGATACTCCATACTGCATGGCATCATGCTCAGCATCTAAAGCTGGGGAGGAATGAAGGGGTAAATGTTCAGAGTGATGTTTATCTTCCCAAGTAAACATTACATGTGATGTAGCCCTGCTTTCCCGGGGGTGGCTGAATACCTGCCTGCCAGTGGAACATGTTGAATTAATTCCTTGTTTTGCTTTCCTTGTGTGCATGGCTTTTGCTTTATCTATTAAAATGTCTTTGCCTCAAGGCTTGAGTTTTCTCCCTTTTACTCTTCCTATTCTCTTCCCCAGCTGTGTGGGGCTTAGTTGCTGGTTGAGGTTAAACCACGACAGTCCTTTCCAGTTGCTGGGGCTAGCATAGAATGGGTTTGCCTTTGCCTGAGTTAGGAATAACCCACTCAGCTTTCCCCAGCACATTTTCAATATGCACTACAGGAATTCTATCCTCCTCTACAGTATGTAAAAGTTTTGATTTGTCAGGGTCAGTCTGACTGGCAGATTCCCTAGTGCTGACTAACCATGTGGCCTTTGCTAAATGTGTATTCCAATGTTCGAGGGTCCCACCACCCATTGCTCTTGGTGTAGTCTTTAACAGTCTGTTACATTATTCAATCTTTCCAGAGGCTGGTGCATGACAGGGAATGTGATATACCCACTCAAATGCCTGACATATATTGCTTTATATCCAGTGGTATCCATCCTCAGATATAAAATATATATAATTTTTTTCACTTTATTTCACCAGTAGGAAACATTTTCTGTATAATTTTTACAGCTCTTCTTCCAGTTTAATATTTTTCTTCTTTTTTTTTCCAAAGAACCATAAGGAAAACTGCTACTAGATGTAATCTCGTATCATCTTTTAGATGAATACAGAGAAGAACAAAATTCCAGGTGAGTACAGCCACCTCTGCAGAGTGGACCAAGGTGAAGTTAAATGCACCATGACTTCTACAGACATAAAATGGGCAACCGTAAAGTTTGGATAAGTCAACGGAGTGTGAAAGTTTATATAAGTTCCACCCGCCTGCACAGCATTGTATTTATTATCTTTAATCAGATGATGTCCTCAGGATCTTTTCTTCCACTCAAGAGCAACCATGAAAATCTAATGTTCTAAAATAAATGCATTTGTCTAACATCAGGTAACAAGGAAAGGGGACCAATGCTTATTTACAAATGAGATGCCACACAGTGAGAATACAGTTATACTTGTTTCAGGAACTAGGAGCAGAAGTACAATATTTCAGAATTATTGATTTTATTGACATGTTGGATTATTCAGGAAAAAAATAATTAAGAAACCAAGAATGACTCTGTAGTAGAAAATCCTTTAAATCAGAGTGAAATAAGTCCTAGGAAGTCTGTCATTTGAGATCTAAATGCTTTTTGGTATTTTCTATAAACAGGATAAATGTAAGCAAACACATCAAAACATTCTGACATTAGTGTCTTGCGTCCAAAGTTATTTCAGGAAAATCTCTGAGGTACTGTTTTATTTTATGGAGTATATTTGGAAAGTGCACATTTTGGTATTTATGGAAGAAAGTCAAATTTCAGTACTTTCATGCCTTTTAAACAATACATTGTTGGCTAACAAATTTCTCCGTACTCAGTATGTTATGTGAGATCAATGGAGTAATAGCTTAAATTTTAATTTTCACAATTAAGTTACCAGGTAATAACTTTATAATCAAGTATTTCCTTCAACTGAAACATGGGAGCCAAGTGGCTATGTAAAGCCTTCTCTTTGAATTCCTTTTCCGCATCACCCTGATAGTCTAACTGAAGAATTAAAGTAACTTAAGTGTCTCTGCACTAGGAAGACTCTATACACAAGAATCCACATTCTTCTTGTGTTTCAAATCTATTTCTATTGCCTCCGCAGCCCCCATACCAGAACTGACCACACATTTTCTGCTCTTTGTCGTAGTACCACTTCAAAATGTAATTCTGACATTCTCCACTATCTTGAACAAGGTCACATGCATCTGGAAAAGGGAAATAAGAGACAGATTTAATGAAAGAAAGGTCAACCTTTCTTAGCACTGTTAAATTCAGGGAAAACTAACATTCAGTACAAACTGTCAGACAAAATAAGTAGCCAGTGTTCGAGATTTTACAAAGATTTACTAAGTATTCATCTACAAACCCACAGTGTCAGCATGGTCTGAAGACCCTCTTCTTATGATTGCTTTAACCAGAAAGAACATCTGAAATGATGAGATTTCAGTGGCATAAATAGAAGGAATGCTAAAAGGTTTTTAGTCTTCTAACATAGACTTTTTATTAAAATGATTGTAAAATGACTATATGTGGTCCACAGAAACTATGTAAATAAACCTTTTAATAATTTCCCTCTTCTTTATTCCAACTTGTTATACTGGTATCCATCAATAATATTTCATAAACAAACATACACAGGTTGTTAAACTATCCATGATAGTCTCTTAGCCAAATCCAATAATAATACAAATTTAAACTGCATAAATTAGCAAAGTAGGTGAGAGTAGCATACTTTGTAGCAATCTGGCATTCCGTAAGAACAGATCTAATCATCTTTCACTAACGTAAATTCAGAGTTACTCAAAAGAAGACAGAAGGGCAGCTCTAGACGTTCGTGCCTATACAACATTGAAGGGGAAGAACTGAGAAGTAAAGCAAAATCGTGATAAAACTACCCTGCTTAAAGATTTAAAATGATGTGACCTTCTGCTAATCAACTGAAAAGCAATAATCTCAAGCAACAGATCAGTACAAAGTATACCTCTCAAAAGACAAGTTCTGGAACTGGGTTTTTAGAAGTAAACTGTCGGGTCACTAGTTACAACACAGGATCGAGAAAGGCAGTTCGTACCTCTCCTCTAAGTGTTCCAGGTCACTTCTTACATTGGTGCAATGACCCTGACTACTTCCTCAAAGGAAATATTTTATTTGTAAAGTATAAACAGTGACATATCTTCCTGTTACTGGATTTCCTGTGTGACCACAGAGTTCATGAACTGGTCAATAAGAGATTAACAAGACTGTACTCATGCAGTTAGGCAACAGGACCAAATCCTATGGTGCTGAGTAAGCCCATCATGCACTGTGGTTGTATGGTGTTCACAGTGGTACACTAGCTCTTAATTAAAGATCCAATATTAAAACAGTATTGCAAAGGCATTGGTACTTTCTCATCAGGGAAGTGGCCACCAGACACTCTGGAGTCGTATTTGAGTGGAGAAGGATGAAAAACAAAGGGATGACAGCTGCAGCAATGAGCTACCACACCCCAAACTATGCAGACACCTTTTCATTTTTTTCACATAAATTCTCTTTAACTGTATTTTAAACAACAAAAACACTCAATTGTGCTAAAAGAATGTTGATGACAAATTATCTCATAATCAGCTTCCCATACCTGTATCAAATGTCAAATCTGTGAAGAAAAATGCATAATTAGGAAGAAAAGTTAAAAACATGAAGAATATGTATTTTGAGACTTCTACCGAGGGATCCTGTTCTTCCTACAGGAACAGACTGTATCAGAGATATATTTAGTTCCTCCATGTTGACCTAAGTTATCAGTAGGAGTAACTCAGGAATTACAGTGCAACTTGGAATTTAAAATGATCATCTGTTTTAGTAAGGGGGATTAGAACTTTTTATGATATTATCACAAAAAGTTACAAATCAAAACTAAAGTCACAATGACACATATAGTTCAATCTTCAGCTACAGACTCTTACTGTATAAATTTGGACTGAATGCAAACATGATGACCAAATGTTTTGGAAAAGTGTAATTAATGGAAATTCTTCATCATGTGTAAATATTCAACCGAACCCTTTACAATTTAAAGCTTTTTTACTGAATTAAAAAAGGATTTTCATATTCTAAAATCATACCATAATCATTACAGGCAGTTCTAGTTTCTACTGTTGCACCTAAGTTTTCCTTGTTCTCCTCCTGAGCTTCTCCACACTCTTGTGGCTTTTCTCCCGCAGCAGCTCCCTCTGTGACATATTCATTCTTCTCCTCATAATCATATCTCATTTCTGGTATTGTGTATACAAGTTCTTTGGTGTTCTCTTTAATACTCTTCATGACTCTACTTTCAGTTTTTTCAGTGTCTTCCAAACCATAACTGGAACCAAGTTCAGCCATTCCAGGAAAAGGCATCCTTCCAAGAAGAGGGGGAAAAGAAAAATCATTTAACTAACAGTATGACCTTGAAAAATGCATCCTGGTCCCATTTCTATTAAAGGTACTTTAAATACAACTACTGACACAAAGGCAAAAATCTTATATTCAGAGATACACACCCAAAGAGTTAAATAGGCAATTCCAAACCTTTCAATTATAGACACTTGCTGTTGTATGTCTCCCCGATCTAAGTTTTCACACTCTTCTTGAAGTTCAGGTGAAGGATAACTGTTCATTTCTTCTGTGGGGAAAGCCCAGATACCACGGTTGAGTTTTAAAGTCCTCCAAACCACAGTATGTTTAGTAAAAAGCACTATGTGAGTTTTTTGTTGTGAACTGAAGTTTGCATCTTTCAGTAAGTTAACACACAGTATCCAGAGTGACTGGACTATGTCCAGGAAAATGAAAATTATGATAGAGGTTAGCTAGGTGAGAATGACTCCTGAACCAACCTTTCATACTTTTGTCTTGCTCTGTAATAACCTATTTAGCTTCCAAAGAAACTTTCAAGTCTCTAAGTACATACAGGATTTTAAATCAGTGACAATTTCCTTCTTGATATCTTGTTTGTGTTTCAAAGCACCTAAGACCTGCTAATCTGCATGAATGTGTCTTGAAAAGTGAAGAAGTCCTTTTTCTGCTCTGTGGAGGAGGAATAACTGCAATAAAGAGAAAATGTGCTAAATATTTACCTGTTCCAAAGCCTAAATAAGCACAGTAAATCTGGACTTGCCAATGGTCTGAGGAGAAATGTGGACCTAATCAGGAATCAGAACTGTGTTCTCTTAGCTGAGAATAGTCTACCTTTAATGAAAGTGGAGTTCACAAAGCCACACATTAAATAAAAACTTCAGGGAAAAAACCTGCTTAAGACTAGAGTATAATGCTGTTCTGTCATTGCTGGCACTTCCATTAATGTCCAGCATCTGAGGCAAACTAAAGGTGAAAGACTGGCAGTTATGACTAGGAATGATAGCACATATATACTGACTACCTTCTTCTACACAGCATTTCTCTTTCTTTCCATACCTTAAGCAAATGCCATTGTGTGATACTTACGCTGTAGAAGATTCAGAAATGCCCGGCTAAACCTCTGAGCGTACGCCATCTCCGCTGTCGAAACCCTGCCCAGTGTCAGTAGGTGCTGCTCTGTGGGGGAACTTGGCAGCTCCATCAACTCATTGTCACTCACATCACTGCCAAGCGCAAGAGTGAACAAAGTGAATCCTTGGCACTTGGCTCCGAGTGAAATCTCTTTCAGCCTCTCTCTGTCCCACGTGCTTGTTTTGCTTCCAACTATTGTAAATATGACCCTGTGTTTCCTTTGTCTGGGGGCTTTAAAGAATACATTTTCGACTGTCCACTGTAGAGCAGAAGCAATGGCTGATGGCCCTTCCAGTTGGTGAACAGACTCTTGGATGTGTTTCTTCATCAAATCTTTACTGCTGTATGTAACTAGATCAAACTCCAAGGCCACAGGTGTCTGGTTTCTGCCAGGCAGGAAGCCCCTAGGAGCTTGCTGCACCAGTGCCACTCTGATGCCTCCGTATGATTCGTTTGGCTGTAAGGAAACAACAAACTGATCTAGCATGTTGTTCACAAAGTCTTTGGCTCTCTGAAAGTCTTCACTGCTGACACTGCGAGAGCTGTCCATGATGTAAGTGATATCCATATCCATCAGAACTGGGGGAAAAACGGGCACCTCACAGTTGGTTCTTGGTTTGCATTTATCTAGAGAGGAAGAGCAAACAGCAAACTACTTAGCAATACAACAAAAGCAAGAGTTAGGAAAAAAATTCACACAGTCCTATACATTTATTTTATTTTTCTTAAATTTTGATTAAAAAAAATAATCTGGGAACTTTGTTCTAGTAATGAACAGCAGATGAGTCTTGCTGAAGGAGGTTTTGAGATATGGGAAATTATTCAGGCATGAGAACAAAAAAACATTCATAAGGTAAAACTTCATAGATCCATAGTTCCCTTGAGAAATTTTCTTCTGTTGAAATCTAAACATTGTAAAGGACACAGAAACAAACCCTATTTTTCATCTCAGATCACTATTCAACATTCTGAAATATTATCATTTAGTAGCATCTCCTCCCCTCACAGTGTACAATCCACAGCAGATGAGCCTGGGTTCCCAGAATCATAATGCTATTTTAAGTTCATTTCTGTTAAAAAGGAAATGCTAAACACAGTAATTCATTTCACATGTCTGAGACAGAAACTAATTAAACAGCTTTTGTGGTTTTGACAGTCTAATTCTTACCATCCACTGAAGAGGAAATTAAAATTTTAACTCCTCAGCACTGATAACTGTAACCAAGAAATGATCTGTCACAGGGGGCAAGAAGGCCCATTTGCAGAAGAGGTTAAGTTAGCTGGAAGCAGGAATGTCAGAAAAAATCCCTGTCAGGGAGTGAAGTTTCTCTGGGTGATGACAAGAAACAGCTACAGCACTCAGGGCCACCTGTGGGCAGCCAAGCTGGGCTGAGTTGCTCCATGCAACCACTCTTGGGATTGGTGCTGGTGCAAGCATATATAAGGAATCAGCTCTTACATTTTTGCAAACTCCTTGTAGAACCATTTATGGCAGTAGGATTCTGCCCAGTGCATTGTTTATTAATATTTTTCTTTTATATTTAAGCACAAACACATTTAAGGTGTACCATGAAAACTTCCCCAACACCACACTGCAAAATAAATACAATAGAATGTGTTACTGAAAGGCTAAATAGACCAATACAACAGATGGAATTTGTAAAATGTCTTACCAAAGCAAAGTGTACAATATGTGATGCCCTCTAAATTTTCATCCTGTTGTCTTTCCCAAACAAATAATTGAAATCTTCTAGTGTCATCAATCTATGTTTTAAAGCAGACACAAAAGTAACATTTAAAAGACAGGTAAAATATATTACAGTTTTTCTTTTTCTTTTTTCTTTTCTTAATAGGGTGTATTTTTCTACAGAGAAAAGGGCAGGATCTCTTATATCTGGGATAAAGAGTGAAAATGTTTTCTTGGGAGAGAAGATTTTAGCCTTGGAACAATGTATGTGTTGCCTGTAATCAGCTGAAGAAAGACAATCTTCCCCAGTAGAAGATTTGACCACAGAAATGCTTGAGGAACTCTGAAGAAGCTCCAACAACAATCCATAATTTCACTGATCACCCAACCCCATCCAAATGTGATTCAAGGGAAAATGCATTTACTTGTAGACTAAGACTAACAAAAATGGCTGTACATTATACTGTAATGGTGAGTAAAGAATTAATTACTTCTTTGCATTAAACTTCAGCTTAAACTACACAATTAGATTCTGATTAATGTCTGTCAAGAATGTTATAGATAGAACTCTTCAAAGGAATTAGAATTGGCAAGGTTTGAATGATCTCTAAACTGAAACTCCTAAAACAAAGTAACCAAAGGCACTAAGTATCTGTGGCTACAGGCTGGCAGGATCATAAAGATTAAACCATCTCTCAACTACAAGAAAAAGGGAGGTTGTATTTACTCCGGGGGTAGTGGTGAGGTTGGTTGCTTTCCCATCATTGTAAACATAAAGCAGAGCTGCTGCCATGAATTTTTTGCCTTTCCCCCTGCTAAGCAGCTCTTTTAAACTTTTCTTCTCTGAAGACTGATTTATGGATAATTGGCACTTTTGTAAATAACAGACATCATCACATGCATTCAGATTTGTAAACTGCTTATACTAAGTAAACAAAATACTGATGCTTGCTCCTGTTTATCCTGTGGAGCAACCCAGTCAACAAACTATAAGCTTCCTTCTCATATGTTAGCAGAATTATTTCATTCTGCTAAATTAACATCCAGCCATAAAAATACATGAATTGACTAACAGATATGAGGCTGCATGAGAATAAATATAAGAAGAAGATTAAATGGCTACTAGATCAGAAGAGACTCCAAGTTTTGCACCTTTTGTCCTGTGTAAGTGAACATGTTTCCTTTTGGAAGGACAATTACAAAGAAACAGCAGCTTGAAAGAATTTTATTTTGAAAAAGTTCAAACTGAGAACAGATGATACCAAAACAAATTGGAAAGATGGAAACTATGGAATCTATGTTATGAAATCTTAAATAAATTTAGAATTGTTTCCTCTCATACCTTGTAAACTGGACTGTTTATTCTCATTTACTGTCTTTTATATGAAGTCATAAAACAAAATTTCATAATTTTCTCCTGTGCAAACGGCAATACAGATATCAAAAGGAGTTTTGCTTAATTTAATTTTCTTTTGAAAAAAACATGGTGTACTTGAAGACTTCTATTACTTTTTCTAGAAACTAGGGCCACAGTTTCTTAGTTAAATGGTCACTACATGTCACATCTTCAGAAGAGTAATGGCAAAGGTAACTAAGTGAAACTAACACAATGTTATGGAAATTCTGTGATTTGGCCTAAAAGCACAAGCCATTCATAATTCGTGTGCAGAAAGAGGTCAGATGATGATCATTATGGTCAAGTGAATCACCGTTTCTTTGTTGAAGTAATATTCTTTAATGTACCTCTTTCTACTAAAGGATTAGACAGTTCCTAGAACTTACTGGACTGAGAGTAGGATTTACTCAAACAATAGCAGACGCTGAGTAAATGGGTGACTCAATTTTCTATCATCTACCTACTTACTGAGAAGGCACGTCTGACATTTGGCACTTCACTGAAGGCAATGACCACTGGAGTGATATCCAAAGCACTCAACTCAAGCACAGCTGTGCTGATGGCAACATCATCCTGCGATGGACCATTGGCAAAAAATAGGGCTACTTTTCTTGTGAGGATGCCCTGACGAACACGTTTGAAGACATTTCTTGCAACAAATCTCATGGCTGCCCCAATATTTCGCTTTCCAGTGGATCTCTCCAGAGGTATTCTCTGGACTGCTTGTTGCAGCAAGTTGCTTTTTTGGAATTCTGAGAATCGGATGAGATAGCGCATATTGGTGTTGAAAGAAACAACGGAGACACGAGCGCCTGTTGGGCAGTTGCTTTCACTGATCTTAATGGTCCTCAGCAACAACATGACAATGTTTCTCATCCTTTCAAATGCAGCTGGTGTAACATCATCAGACATATCGAAGGCAAACACCACTTCAGTTGGGTAAGCTGGACATGTGTCTGTATATTGAAGCAGAAAATTTCTGTGAGAGCCTTTTCACAACTCAAACGTTGTTAGTTTTTTCTTCAAGTCTATAAAAGAATGGATATGCAGAGGCCAGATGGACTTACCTGATGAGCAAGCTGCAAGGAAGAGAGGGAGAGCAAATAAATTATTTTGGGCCCATATTCATTAATACAGTGACATATTCACTTGCTTTCAACAAAAAGCCTGATTCAAAGCTCAGACAACTGATAGAACCCGCCAGTGCAAGACAACACTCTTCTTCCATAATCAAATACTCAAAATAGTACACTTTTACTGGATGGGAAGTAAAAAAATTGTTCTGGGTTCTGCTGCGCACATATGTCTGAAGGGAACGAACACACCTAATTTGGAGAACAGTACACATACAAGTATTGTCTTCTCTCAGAGAACTCCCCAAAGGGTGTTGGCACAATGCCAAAGAATTATTTTAATCTTTAATGAGGTAAAGAGATATTTGTTATGGGTTTTGTAATTAACAGATTAGAAAAGGAGCAAAAAGAGCAAGTCTGCTTCAAACACCTGCTGAAAACCCCTCACAATTAACAACTACCAGTCAAACGGAACTCAGATACAAACCATCAGTTTACAGTGGAGGCTATTCTGTTTAAGAAGAGTGACTAGGTGTCAGAGGTAAAATAAGATGCTCCCTACTTACGGCAGTTTTTTCTTGTAAAATTCACAAGTTCACAAGGCTGCAGGTTCAAAATAAAAAAGGAATTAATGGCAAATCCCAGACCATCCCAGACTGGGAATCTTACTGGTGTTTGAGATGAAGGTCATATCCCAGTTCCTGAACTAACTCTCATCACAGTAAATCCAGATTCACACAATCCAGTTCCTCTTTATTTCAAATAGTACAGGGACACTCTCACTTGCTGCAGAAACTAGGCATATTTTTCTAGACCTGCTCTGTTGGCATTTATGATGTTCTGGAGTACCAAGAAACCATTTATCCATTCTTTATTTCGTGCTAATAAACTGATCTAGGATGTCACCACTCAGTGGCACTTCCATAAAAGAATGGACATTTCAATAGCGACTCACATAGGAAGAGAGGTCCATGAAGGAGGAGAAGACCTCCTCTGGACACAGAACACACCTGCAATAGTATTGCCTGTAGGTAGTCATCCATGCAAGGGTTAGATGGAACCTTTGCTCAGAAGTGCTCATTTTATAGGGGATTACGATTCTGAAGAAATCTTGTACTTCTATTCCCAGTGAAAATAACTGTTGCTGAAGAAATGCCTTCCTTTACAAGAGGGGAAAAAGTAACCCTAAACATGAGCTAGTGTGTAAACTGATGTGAGTAAAGAAACAGGTAAATGAATATTAATGGTCCAACGATTTGTAAAAGTTTGGACATGGTGTTAATCCATAGGCATAATTGTTTCTCATTCCTTGATCATTTGCAGAACAGATGAACGCACTGCACTCTGACAAGAACATGAGAAGGATATTGTTTTATAACAGCTAATTGTGTGCACTGCTGTAAGTGCTGATAAATGGAAGACTAAAACAGATAATTCCATGCAGTGTACAGTTAGCTGTAAGGTTGTTACTTACTTCCATTAAAATGGTGCCCATTGGTCCTTTGGCACCCTGAAACAAAATAAACACAGGTCCAAAAAGTCAGACCCTGATAATGTATTTCCGTCTATTACTCTGTAGCCCAAAGAAAATGCAGGCATATAGTGTTTCCCAACAAGCACTTATGAATTTGAAATATGAGGAGACATCAGTTCCCAGCATAGATTTTTGTGGACCCATTCCAGAGTTACAGATCACTTCTCAGACTTATTTCTCAGTCCATTTTCATTAATGGTTTTAAAATGTTCAATACTTGTTGCCCTTGAGGACCAGTATAGTTCAGAACTGGATTTCCTTTATAAACAGCAGTTTCTGTGCTATGTTCAGTTATTTGGACTTTCTGTACTTTCCAACACCTGATGTGTGACAAGCTTGCCCTCTACTCTTGCAGGGTAAAATCCCTACAGTTCTACTTCAAAAGACCTTGCAGAACACACACACATCATGATAGCTCAACCTACTCTGCATCCTTCTCCTTGGGAGCTGTGGAAAAATGCTAGAACCTCAAGCATCTTTTTTCAAAATAAAAGTATTTTTTAATCTTCATAATGGGAATAAAACAGAGGCAAAGGAATTTTTTTTTCAAAGGAGCTTGAGAGTTCTTATCATGTGTGCATTCAGATGTGTAGGAAGACTACTGAAAATTCTTGCAGGAGGCTGCAGTGAGATACACCAGAAAAATTTCAACTCCACATCCCACAGCTTTTACCTTACCCTCTCTCTACCATAACACTTCACCAAAATTATATACTTCCTTACGTCCCCAGATTACAACCCCGTCTCCTTATTTGTTCCTTCCCCTTCCAATTAATCTTCCATTCCTCCATCTTCTGCCTGAGCTACGCTCCTCACCTCTCCTGCTGTCTTGCTGCTAGCACCATCACAGCCATTCCATGCTTTTTTCTTCTCACGTTTCCCAGTAGGTCAATGTTCTTCTTTGGTACTGTTCAGCAAGAGTTAACTGTGAATTGCCTGAGCCCTAATGCTACTTGCAGCAGCTCAGTGGTGGTGACTGAGCTGTGCAGACTTGACACATACAGACAATCATGTCACCAAGCAGGAAGGACGGGTAAGACAGGCCCGATTTGGCTGTCCCTGCCTACTACCTGTGCTTCTTCCTGCATTCCCTATCACTTCCACTTCCCACAGACTTCCCACTTTCTCATTTCACTGATGCACAGCTATTGTAATAATCCTACCAAGCCCATATATCCCAAGCTCTACTCTCATTTCTACATTTGAGGAGGAGATCTTGAGCTTGAAATCCCTCTGAAGACTTCTTGGACCATGGACTGGCAAGGCCAACGGCTGTGGCTCATCAGCTCACAAGATTTGTCTACCTGTAACATGTGAGTGGCCAAGCAGCTGGGAAGGCAATGCATTCTTAGCCATTCTTGTGTCCAGCATCATAAAATAAAGTGGGACGGGTATATTCATTGACCAGCACAGTGTAATGAGAAGGAAAAAAAGTTTTCTAAGCTGACACATCCCATGGGCCATGTTTTCCAGGTAAAGATACTGCTATCAATAATGTTCCACATTTAAACTAAGAATAGGCCTAAGAAAGTTTAGCATGAAAATCAGTAACAGTAGACATTGTTTCTGGTCACTATGGAGCTGATTTTCAGCATTGCTGCAGGATAAAGGTAGACATATACAGGAATTTTCCTAGCTACCTACAAGGTTAGTCCTAAATCCTATTGAAATCCACAATCCTTTCATCTGCTTAGATAGAGAATAAAACATTTTGTTGTATAAAATGCAGAACACAGACACTGGAAAAGTACATCAGGACATTTACTTGTATATAAGGATTAACATGCTACAATCAATATAAGCTTTAAGTGCATAACTTTTAACTGCAAGTCTGATTTTAAATGGCTTTTCTTTTGAAATGGAAAAAATACATTGGCTTTCAGCAGATCAATCCAGTTCTATATTTTAGTACTCTCTGCTTATTTAGTTAGATATTTACCCAGCCTAAAGACAATACCAAATACTGTGGAAGAAATTCTGCCCTGCACTATATTGTTGCAGTTCCATTTCAACAGCAGGTGCTCCTGTGCACACATATCCACAGGCAAGACATAACTCTATACAACTTCCAGGCAACTAAGCATATGAAACATAATAAAATATTCCATTATTCTACTAGTAAGTCTAAGATCAACCTAAGAGTGATTTTTTTTAAAAATAAAAATATATTACCATAGGTCCTGATGGCCCTTGATCTCCTGGATCTCCCAGGGAACCTGGTGTGCCAGCATTACCCTAAAAATAGGAATACAAGTTTCATTCTTTATAATTGCACACACAGGTGCCAAATTTCATAAGGGGAAAAAAACCCTCCATAACCATATTGTGAGTTGGATCCTGCATTTACATAGACTACCACTATTAAGAATTATTAGCAACCAGCATCTCTGAAGACTCCGACCTGCATTCTCTCAAGACCTGTTGCACAAGGTATGGCAATAAAAGATCAGGGTGGGAAACAATTTAACTTTTTTTCTTTGTGAGAAAACACTTAGGACACAAGGGCTTTATTTATAGAACTCTTCACAGAGTTAGCAAATTTGTCATTCTTACTCTTCTACCCCTAGTTCCTTTGGGTCCTTCAGCTCCTGGAATGCCTGGGTCTCCCTCTTCTCCCTGAAAATTAATGAAATTCAGAACTTTATGGGAAAGGAGAAGACAGATAGAAAGACAGACAAAAACTTCCAAAAAGAAAAATGTAAAACAAGACATAAGGAAAGGAAATATGCCATTTAATCATACCTCTGGACCAGGATATCCTAAGAATCCAGATTCTCCCTACAAAAAGAAAGGACAAAGACTTCATAGGAATCTAGAACTTTGTGATCTGTTTAGCGTTTGATGCCTTTAAATCAAAAACAATTTAAAAATTATTCTTAGCATTCCAGCCCATTCAAGTAACTGTGGCTACTACTCTGGTCTCAAATGACACCATTGTATATGAACACCTTGCTCATCTAAAGGAAGAGCGTTTTAAAAATTTCCAACAGTTTCTGGATTTTCAAGCATTCTCAGTTTCTCAAATATATGTCTTACCAAAACTTATTTATGCATCCTAGTAATATACAGTGGAATTCACATATAGTGACTATGAGTTAATGGTAACATTCAGAACTCAGCGTTTGAATGTAGTTTCAAAATGTTGTACCCTCCATACTAAACAATGATACCATGATATTTTGTTGGCATATCAGAAGTCAGTTCATTAATTGTTTTCAGTTACTTCAGTTTCTGGTGTGTTCTTTGCTCGTATATGAGAAATATGGAAACTCTCGCATAAACCAATCCGAAGTGAAGTACCTCTTTCCTTAACATCAGAATTCACACTACTTACGCATGCCATTGTTCTAAGAGTTCCCTCCCATGGAAGTGGACTTGGTTGTAAAACATCATATGACTTTATCCAACAATTTTCAGAAAATTTCATGCACGTACACCCCCCCATTACATGTAAGAGAGCGTAATGTGACTGGGAACCTGTATAATTAATAGCAACCTTAAGTAAAATTTATACTAAAGGTTATTCTCTTAGCTATCAGGGGAAAATCATTCTTTCTGAATCACTATTCTGGAGTAAATTGGGTTTTGGTTATTTTTATTAACTGCTTTAATCCAGGCCCTGCCAAACCCTGGGCAGACATCAGTGTATAAGAAAGGCTTTAAATTAATCCTTTAAAACAATGAATAATGACTAGAAGATTTAGCAGAAACTTTTTTCCTCCATTCTTCTAACATGTAGGCTGTTCCCTGAAGTGAACAAGTGGGAGATTTCAAGAGATTAAAAGAATTAGTCTTGTATACAATGTATGCATAACCTACGAAACTCTCCTATGAAAAGGAATTGTTGGAGCTAAGAAGGTGAGAAAAGATATTGGAAAATAAGAAGCACCAAGAGCCATTTTAGCAAAAGGAGCTCATCAGTTGGAGAGGCTCCCGGGAAGCCTTTCAAATCTTTTCTGCAGGTTCCTACAACACTCTGTTTCTCCCACAAAAAGGAAGTGAAAGACAGGCCTATCAGAGATCCACTGGGCCACTTCTGTTTTACAAGCAGCAAGAAAGGACTTGTATTGCAACACTACACAAATTCCTTGAAAGGAGGACTGCAGCTTTTTCCAGCATCCTGACCCCTCTGCTCCCAGACTGACCCATTGGTGCCACTGGTGCCGTGATTTTGGTCTCTTCATTTCTATATACTTTTTATTTTAGCTGGATTCTTTTATGTTTTTAAAGAAGTGAGAAATTAATTGCTTTTTTAATTCAGCACTGTGAAGGGAATGATAAGAGTTTCTTAGCAATCCAGAGGTTTATCCCCAGATCTTATTTCTGACCATAGGAGCACAAGGAAGAATATTTCACATTAAAACAATATCCTTACTGTCTCAGTATTCCTTGGTAGTCAAGGAATCCCTCTACCGAAAGAAGAAAAATGAGAAGAGCCCCAAGTGTCTGGACCACCAATATTTGCCAAGAAGAGTGGCTAGTCAAGCAGACTGAAGTGGGTAGAAAGCACTGTGTATCCAAGAAGTACAGTCCTTCATATCCATATACACCCATCAAGGGAAAGAGTGAGAGAGGTCCTCAAAAGAATATCTTATTGAAGAATTTCTCACAAGGACTGTGGGAATCCTGAACCTCTTACTGTGGCCATGTCTTACATTCCTTTTTAATATAATATGGATGTTCCATTTGATACTGCAGAAGACTGAGAGACATTCTGACCTGAAGCACTCACCTTTGCTCCTTTGCTTCCTTCAGGACCATAGGCATCTCTGCCATCCACGCCCTGCATAGGTTGAACATACCGTGAGTTATATTTTAATAGAGGATTAGATTTATATCCAGTTTGACTTTGAAATAAAGATGTCCCATTACAGTGAGGTGCTCAGGCTGTTAAGATTAATGAATTAGGGCAAGCTCTCACTATATGGTCTAAAACCAGCAGCAAATGGTGGTAAAAGCCATAGAGAGAAAATAAGGATTAAGGCCACAGTTCCTTTCCTTGTGTGCCCTACCTTCAGCATATTCTTTCCTCTAGAGAATTTGATGTGAAAGATATTCTCTCTAGCCCACAACGAATCTGGTGTCCATAAGGAAATTGAGAACCAAATGTGAAATAATTTTAATTGTCTCAGAGAAAATAGAAAGGAATGAACTGTAGTATTTCAGCTGGATTGGTATTAAACTACAGGGGCTCTGAATTAGGGGAGAAAGACTCACAGGCATGCCTCTCTGTCCAGGTAGTCCGATTGGGCCCTTCTCTCCAGGGTCACCAGGTTCACCCTGTTACAATTGAAACACAGAAGCTGTTAGTTGGACTCATTCAGGAGAATTCTTCTTTCTGAAACGTGAAGTTGTCTGTTAGACTGAAGTGTACCTATACATTTTATAGACTAGTTGATGCTGGGCAAAAGCATTCCACTAGAGACCATGTTTCATGGAATGTTCCTTATGGTGGAACCAGAAAGGACTATACAAATCAGAATATGCTGAGCATTCATGCAGCTAGACTCCAAAGGCCTTTATTCAGCAAAACTCCCATTGTTATACAGTATTATCTGTGAAAAAAGTGGGGTTTGGAAAAGTTTATAATATAGTACTAGCAGGATATATCCTGGAATTCTACCAGCCTGAACCACCTGTTTATAGCAGATGATATTTCTCAGGCAGGCTGTCTGCAGTGAGCTCTTAGTCCTCTCACAGCGTTTCTTTTCTTCAGTCTCTTTTTTGTTTCCACTTTCCAATCGAACTTTCTTCTAACAAGGAACCCAATATTAAACAGCACAAAATCAGACACAGAAAATAGAAGGTATGATGAAAACTTCTAAGTATTTTTCCAATTTTTGTCACTGTTTCACTGTATGTTTTCACACAGTGACTATTTTTATAGTAACACTTTGACCTTCTGTCACTGAATGTAACAAACCTTCAAAGAGACTGAAAGGCTTAGCTAACTGGTATGACTTATGACTTACATTCAAAGATTCAACAACAACTGAGTTATTTTTATCGAATAAAGTTAGTCTCCCATATTAACATAAATGAAAGGAAAGTAAGGGATAACATTTATTATAAATGAACTCTAATGTAGACCATCTATTAGCATAAGTCTTTCTGTTAAACTTCATGTTGATTTAATTGTTCTCAACATACTCATTCCTCTATGATAGACATCGTAATAGTCAAGGTTCCTTGGACCTGTTAGGAATTTTTAGAAAAACGAGGTGAAAATAAGCAACTACACTTTTTTGAACTGGTAAGGTCAGATTGGACATTAGGAATAAGTTCTTCACAAAGAGGGTGGTCGGTCACTGGAACAGGCTTCTCAGGGAAGTGGTCATGGAACCAAGCCTGTCAGAGTTCAAGAAGTGTCTGGATGATACACTTCGTCATGCGGTTTACTCGCCCTGCAAGGAGCAGGGAATTGGACCTGATGATCCTCATCAGTCCCTCCCAACTTGCGATATTCTGTAATTAACTGGAATGTATTTGCAATGGATTGGACAGATTCTAGGAATCCTAAAATGAGCTTCAGGGTCAGGTCAGCAGTCTTGCATGTTGTGAGAAACCAAGCCCCACTGAGAACAATTACCACAACAGCAATTACATTAGTGGTCATGGTAAAACTAAAAACTTCTTATTATCTCTCTGACACCTCTAAGATTACCTTGAACATATCTCTTGTCTTCCCATGCAGTCTGAAAATGTCTATAGATCTTAATATTCTACACATGTTTCATAGGACTAACAAAATGTTAGAATATGCTTCTTCAGTCAAATTCTTGAATGAATGATACTGTTAGATTGCTGCAATTAGACACCTTAAAAATCTTTACCTTTTCTCCTCTTGCACCTAACTTTCCAACAGAGCCAGGTGAACCTGGGGGCCCCAGACTGCCCTGTAATAAGAAGTATCAGTTAAAAGGTGTGCAGTGAAGAAATCAAGGGCTCACTGCACTCAAGGATTCATTCCCACTTGAAATTACTACATAGTCAGTATAAATAATAGTGCATTTACAAGCTTTCCAGGACCACAGTAAGAGTTACTGGTCAAGCTATCATTCCATTTCTTTCCTGTCTTCTGTACAACTACTGTATAAACCTCAAAATGCTTTTAAGTATGAAATGAATGTTATTTTCAGCCTACATAGATACTTAGTCAATACATGCACATGTGCACAAACCCATGAATGCACACATATAATTGGGGGTGTAATCAGGAACATTATTACTCGATTGAAGCAGATGACCAAGGCTGACAGTGTAGGACATTCCAGTCCTGATTTACACCGATGTAATTCCAGAACAAGAACCTCCAAAATCAAGAGCATCACACAGGGGAGGAGATAGGAGACAGTGCTCAAATGTTACAACCTGATCATACTTCAGCAGTAAATCTCACAAGCCATAATGAAACTACTGATCATTATATAACTTTGATCTCAACTACACCACTGTACATCTGTATTTAACCATGCTGCAAGCCATGCTCTTAGTCCTCATACTAGATAACTGAGAGTAAAATCTAAAGACAAGGCTCCTCACTACAATCATGCAAAAGCTCAGTAACACTGACATTCACTTCCTATTCACCCACCTAAACTTATTTTCAAGGCTGTTATCATATGAAGCTGCAAATCAGTTACAAAAAATCAGTTACGTCAAAAACCCCTCAGTTTCTACCTTCCATAAGTTTTTTAAAAACTCTTTCTAAGAATAATATCAACACTGAGAATGAAAAACCCTAATGTGTACAGTAGGAATATATTATTTAAAGCTAACCAGAGGGCCTGGCATGCCTTGTGGTCCTGGAGGTCCTCTGATCCCTTGTGGTCCTCCTGGGCCCTGATGTAAAAAAGGCATTGAAAAAAAAAAAAAGTCAGTTCCAGACTGTTGACAGTCTTTCAATGAAGATCAGACTCCTGCAATGATCAGAATACAAGTGCCTGTTTCATGAGCCTTAATGCACAGGTGAAACTTCTGGCTGTTTGGTTGTCAGGATTTTCCTGTGTGAAGCAGCTGAGATGGTCACTGCCCAACAGCCTGATTCAGAGATTCACTGAGGTGTCTAAGATACCAAGGGAGCCATAAGCAGCCCGCTATGAACTAGGCACACTTTCTCCAGATCCTAAAACATAAAGTTAAAAGCATCTTTAGAGGATCTAAGAGCATCTTAAAACTGGAAGCTACTATAAACAGTCTACCATGATAATTCTCTTCAAAATTACTCCACCTAGCAAATTTTTAAAACACAAAGCTTTTCACATTAGTTTTGTCGATGCAATAGATTTTATGCAATTTCTAATGATGTGTTGGCTAAATTACTTATTTTTGCTATTCATTTTCCTCTTTTAATTTCACTAGAAGCTGCACCCACATAACTTGCCACATTTAATTCCTCAGGGTTACAGAAGAAATTTGCCAAGGAAGATTTCTTACTCACAAGATTCAGAAGCTGAAGTTAACCAAGCTTTCCAAAAGAAAAACAAAATATCAAGACTGACAATTCACTTTCTTCACAGCTAAAATAAAAACATAAGTTTTATTAGTTACCTGTGGGCCTGGAAGACCGGTCTCTCCTGGGTAACCTGCTTCCCCCAGATCTCCTTGCTCACCCTGCCAGAACAAAACCCAAGAAAACAACAACAAACCCAAACAAATTAGCACCTGTCATCTGTACATCAAAAGATAATAATTTCATATCTGTACATAGTTGATAGAATGTTTTTCAATGCTCCCAAACAGCTTTCAAGCAGCTTCAGATTCCTGTTGAAGAAACTCAGTAGAAAGTAAAAGACTTCAGCAGCTTTTTTTCTTGTTGTTTAGAGTGTGTGATGATTATAAAAGTTACAGCACAAGAAGTCAGTTCTATCTGCTTTGCATTTTCCTGAATACATTTTACATCAGGTTTCAGCACTATTCCTGCATTACCCTTGTCCTTGTCCTTGTCCCCTGCAAAAACCATGAGAAGTTATAAAGTCAGGACCACAAGGGCAGGTCCTCTTCCCCCTTACCCATGAAGAATGACTCTGAGGGGAAACCACAACTTCATTATCGTACTAGAATCAGAGGCTTTTATACTCCACATCTTTCACCCTGGTTATTCAGTGAGGCAAGTCAAATACTGCACCATGGATAAAAAACTTTTTCAGCTCCCATCTCCATATAAAGCTGGCATGTGAGGATGAGTCAGTTTAGCTGACATCCATAACAAATATTCACTGTCTGCTGGACTGAGTAAAATGGTGACAACTAGCACAAAGATATTCCAGGCCTTGCAGATCCCCTTTCACTGAAGAAATCATAAACATATGTCTGAAGATTCTTGGGAAACAGATGGTTCTGGAAAGAATCTCCTGAGTAAAACTGCATTTAAAAGGCTGAATTTCCATTCTCCATCCCATGAATGAAATGAAAGATAAAACAGGGAAAAAAAAAAAGGAAAAAAAAAAGACAAAAGCAAAAAACAAAGACCAAAATTAATTTATAGCCAGAGTAACCATAATGTAAAATGGAACATCAGTAAGTATATGTTATTGCCAGATGTAAAAAAAATTAAATAGGAAAAGATTTCCACAAAAATTGTTTTTACTCTAATGAGGATGGACAAATTTCTTAGGCACACTCTACTAGAACCCAAAACAAATAGAAAGTTTTCACCTATTTAAATTTACTTTGAATCAAACCCAGAAAATTGGTTGTTCTTTTTTCTTCCCCCCAACTTTTCCTCTCTTTCGTGCCTTCCTTTAGTTTATTCTCCCTTCCATCTTCAATATCTTGCTTTGTTTTCAGTACACAGACTGCATGTTCTTCTTGCCTGTGACAAACACCACTCTGACACCTCACCACACCTTCTGTTCCTTCTGCCCTGACTACTTCTGACTGCTAAGAATGGCTAGCTGTGCTTCTTTATGGTTTTTTAACAGAAGGATGGATGCCACTGTCATATTGCAGGGTTTACTGTTCCTTCTAGTTTCTCCAGGAGATGTGGAAGACAGAAGTGTGCAATTCCCTCTGCCATTCACCTTTTTCAGCTCTTCAATGAAGGATATTCACATAAGCTGTGTTCTGACCATGGGTTGGTGCCTAGCTTTTCAATGCCTACCTACCCATACAAATGTGGTTTTTATTATACTTTTAGAAGACAAAGCTGATCATCAGGTACTTAAATGAAAACAGTTTGGAAGTTCCTTGTTGCTGTGAGGTTCAGTCATTTCTCTTGTTCCACACCACATCACAAAAGGGTGGCCTCATCACTGGGTGAGGAGGCTCCCAGGGAGATGATGAGGGTTGACTCTAAAGACTCAGTGAATTCTGCACTCTGTGATTTTACTAAACAAGTTGAACATTTTATTTTCTAACCTCATCAGCATTCTTGTACTTTAGTGCAACAACAACAACAAGGCACAATTCCATTTTCACAGAGTCCAGTTTTGTCCTGTTACCCTCAGTAATCCTGTTACTTGGACTATTTTTTTCTGCTGGTATCTGACAGAAAAACACAAACAAATATTTTTAGAGTTAAGCAGCAATCAAAAGGGGGGGGGGAAGTGCACGAAGTTTCATAATTACCTAAGAAATGGATTTCTGAGTGTTTAGGCAAGAATTGGAATAATTAAGAGGCAGGCTTGATGAATATTCTTCAATATTTTAACATAAAATGTCTTCATAAACCCTATAAATAATTTCTGAGATAGAAATAGGAAACGGGAACTATAAAATGCTCATATTTTTTCAAGTTACTCTGATCCCTGTAGCCAAAGCTTGGTGCTTTCTCCATTACTGGCAGACAGTATCAGAATATTCCAGTCTATTCCTACTTGCAATACCCTAGACAGTGAAAATTCTGGATTCTCAAAGTGAAATCTAAATCATGACTTTGAGAAACCAGGTGGGGACAAGGGTTTTGGTACAAGGCATGCCTGTATATTGCAAAAAGCTGGGATGTGACGGGACTGTAGTTTAGGGAACTTACAGGACTCTCACTTCTGATTGTCATTTCCCAGTGAAATATTAATTTGAATCACTTTAAATGTAAAAACCCTGTGTTACCTGGCTGCAGCACACAGGAAGAGAGTAATAAAGGTACAGCAAAACTGCTCCTCCCAACAGGAGAGGGACAGGAAGCCCAGAAATCAGAGGCAAATCAAACACTGTGCTGCTGAAGAAATATTTCTGCCATAAAAGTCACTGTGCCCTCCCAGTAGTCCTTTTCCTTTGCTGAAATTTATGTTCTATATTGCATCGCTATGGTTATTCTCAGTACTATTTATTAACATTTCACACTTGGTCTTCACTTTAAATGCTTGCTGCTGACACAAAAAACCCCTCACTCAATCCATGCAGAAGTTTCATGAAAAATCATTAACCTTTTGCCAAATTAAGAACACAAGAAGAACTTCAATTTACATACTGCATCCACAATTAAAAACCTGAGAAACTGAGCAAACTTTTCAAACTTTTACTGGCTGTCCTCCAACAGCATATTTTGTACATGCCAAACACTTCATATTGTGAACCTGGATAAAGGAAACAGGGCTTTGGCAAGGACTTTGAAAGAACTGCTACTTGGGCGTTTGCACTTCATCCTGTCTCCTCTTTGATACTATGACTGCACTGATATTGTATGAGTATGATTTGGAAATAAGAGACGGGAAAAGCTGGTCCAAATTTTGCCCTGCCCATGTTTGTGAGTCAAGAGTTGCATAGAACAAACTCTACTCAAAATGCTGGTTTGCACATTTATTCAGAAGCTACAATTCTGCCCATTCCCTAGACTCCAACACAAGGCAGGATTTCGAGACATATTCCATCCTGCTGGTCTGACAGTGTCTTACATGAAATTGTAATGTTTCCCTGGGTTTATATGCACTAAGATATAAGGGAAATGCTATACCAAGGCATATACTGTCTCCTTTATCTCTGTCAGAAGCTGCAGAGATATGGGAACCACAAATGGGAACCACTTGTGCTAAAGCAATGTTTCCTGAAATGATCATATAACCTATACTTGAGAATTCCTAGAATTTTTACTTGCACTAACCCACTCTCGAATATAGCTGCTTTTAGATGTGCTTTGATAACTGTACTTTGTAATTTATACCCAGAGACAAACAAGATTTCTTTTCCAAGAACACTACCTGAATCATCGCTTAAGAGAATGGCAGTGATGTCTTTACCAAGTACATCTCCATAAAGTTTATTGAGATCCAAACTCTATGGGGTATAGATCTAGGAAAACCAGGGCTACCATCCAGAGGATCTTCCTGGAACGATCAATCAGCATGCACTGGGGCTGACCTATTCCTTACATCCTATACCAGCATTCAAACTACAGTACATTCTTTTAGATATTGACTTTGGAAATTAAATTCTTTCCAAAACCTTGATCAGTTTATATGCTTCGAGCCAATTTTCAGAGCTCCAGTTAACACTGTTACATCTATTTTTAGCAAATCATCATTGCCTTAATTTTATCTGTGCTGCGTGTGTGCATCATGCATATATCTGTGTGCATGCAGCAAAGGAGGAATAAACTGTCAGACTTTGCAGCCTGACCACACATTCCTGTCATCTTTAGTGAGTCTCTTCTCTACTTACTTTCCCACATTTGCCCTAATAATAACAGTAGCTGTCCTTTTATTTTGATGAAAACTCTTTTCCAATTCTAAATCCTTCAAGTCAGGATGGCCTCTAGTACATCCACCTGAGATCCAAAGGCTGCCCTGGCTTGAGGTAGACTTTTGATTTTTAAGCACTTGTGTCTCGGATCACAATGAAACCTTCCCTTTAAGAGGAGCAAACACTGAGGCTGGACATGTAGCTGCATATAGATGGGTAGCAGCAGCATCAGCCACTCACCTTTATACCTGGAGGGCCTCTTCGACCTGCTGCACCCTAGGAAGGAGTGGCATGAGAGATTACATCCAGATCACTGAGCAACATGTGAAACAATGGCTTATAATAAAGTACATTATATATACTGTCAAATCAAAGGCAGCTTATAGAAAGCAGAGATTATTCCAAAAGAAAGATTTAAGGTAAAAAAAGAGAAAAGAGTGGATTTGGGGCAGAAATTATTATGCTAGTAAGCCTTACAAAAAAGAAAGAAGGCTTTAGATCCTTAGTGAGCACGAAGGGAAGGCATTTCAACAAAATTCTGGAAAACATCTTCCCAGTCAGCTGCCCTTTGGCTAAAATCAATGGAACAAAAGCCCTCTTCTCTCCCTCTGAGCTAAGAGGTTTGCACCACTTCCTGCTGCACACTGCTCAGCAGCACTAGTGAATGTTACTGTTCAACCTCCGATCACCAGAAGCCTTTAAGATGTTTCTGCAGCCTGATTGAGGAGTGATCATCATTCCAGATTTTGGCATCAAGCACCATTCTGACTGACAAGAAGAGGTGCCTTCATAATTTCCAGTCTCCAGTGAACAAATAAGAGCAGCTTAGCTGCCAGTGTGTTTATATATATGCTTGAACAGGCATACAAAACTTGTTGTCATGGGGAGGAAGAAGAGGTAGATTTACCTACAGCGAAATTATAAAGCAATTAAGGCTCATAGAAAAGGTTGCATTGAGTTTAAGGCTTGTGACTTCGCATGAATCAGACCTAAAATTAACAGGACAGCAAATTCCTGATCTTAAAGAATACAAAACATTTCAATGAACACAAGCTACTAAATTTTAAGCCAAGTATGTTTCGCTAGGAAAATATTAGAAGATTTTTGTTCCCTCTCCTTGCAGGAGTTTGAAGTGTGGGATAACAGGAAGAAGAGAAAAAAGGGGTTTTCTCAAAGGAATCCCACTGTATCTTTTTTTATCAGTAACTTCACCCCATATTGGCTACTATTCTTACATCAGGGCCAGCATCACCCTCCTCTCCTTGGAGTCCACGTGGGCCTGGTTCTCCCTGCAAAACAAAATAATGATCAAGCTCTTTAAACATCTTTGCCTCTTTCTTGTACTTGCACATTCTTCTTAATACATTATTTCTTTTGTTTCTTCTTCTAAGTTTTCATTGCAATCAGTTGTGTCATGCTAAATATTGACCCCTGCTTTCTGCAAATAATTTGCATTCAAAATTATAAACCAGACAGATCATGCTTGCTTTGGACTTCCAATCCATCAGTTATTAACAGCTGATACTCCATCAAGGCTTCTTGAATGAAATAATTTTTGTTGACTTCAGCTTTTCAGTTGGACTTGAGATAAGAAAGTTTGATGAGATCTGCTTTAAACAAGTCATCAAAACCCAATTATTCTCCAAAAATTAACCCTCACAGTTTTTCTACTGCTTCCATCACACTCTACATAGACATATGCACACACGTGTCCAAGCATGTGCACAAAACCCTACTTATTCTGATAGGATTAATCTTCTAAAATAGTGGATTTTTCTCACATGTTGCTAGTTCTCAGCTTCTTAAGCCTTCATCCACCATCATTTATATATACTACTGTCCAACTACTTATCAACTTTGCTTATTCTTTCCAAATAAAGTGCAATAGAGAAATGGGCTGTGCTTTTCTGTTATGTTTCTTTTCTTGCAGTATTCTTCAAAGACCTCTTAAAAACTCAGACATTGCTATATAAGCACATAATCCAGCTCTTATATTCTTGATACAGGTCAAAATGGTGTTTACCCACCATCTTGAGAAATAGCAGTTCCATAGCAAAATGCATATAGTTTGTTGATACCCAATGCATTTTTACCAGCATGATTTTTAACAGTATCCTTATAACCCATTACTAGAAGCCTCTCAGGTGGCTGATGCAAATTTGTGGTAGAATAATATATTCTAGTCCATATTTTCCCTCAGGCCTATATTATGAGAATATTTCCATAGTCTTTGTAAACCTTTTTAATTTTTTTTTTCTTTTATACTGTATCACACACTTCTCAAAGATTTCTGTGCTGCAGACAAACACTAGAGGCAAAATACAAAGCAAATAAGCAAACAAAAAACACACACACAAAAAAAAAAATGACAAAAAAAGAGCTTCTTGGTCACTGGACAGCCAATACAATTTAGCGATTATGCAAATCCTCTCTCCATAATTATAGAACTACTTGCTTACCTGTGGTGCTAGGCTTCCTTTTTCACCTTTAGGACCACTAACACTACTGTTAGCCCCAGGATCTCCCTGGAAAAGTTAAATGGAAAGCTCAGCATTTTCAGTGATCCCACCTTTATTGCTTTGATTATAGAGGCAGGATACGGAAATAATATTAATTAGATTTGTCATTGCAGACAACTAGAAATGAAAAGGCTATTTTAAATGAAGATGCCTGTAAGAACACTATATAGGAAGTTCTGCGAAGTCCACGAAGTTCTTTTCCGAAGAGATTAAAGGCAAAATTACTAACGGGCAAGAAATTAAACCCTGAAAATGTGAAGCTGTTCTGGTTGATTTGGTATAGTTAATTAAGATCATATCTTGTCCGTGAGTTTCAGATGGGGGGGTTACACTACAGTGGAATTCCATTTAGCTGCTTAATGCTAGACACAGGTGAAATCCTGATCTCTCAAAGAGGTAAATTACCATGACACCTGGATTTTAGTTTTCTTTTAATATAATCATTAGAAATCAGGAGTCAACACTATATTTGAATGTTTGGAACAAAATCTTCGAAATATATGTGAGAAGACAAAGTTGTGATACAAGAAGTGTTGTGTCTCCACTGAAATTTCAGTCCTCAGGGAGTGTGTTCATGTAGAGCTCTGGAGCATGCAAGGAAAAAATGTGAGCATGAAGAAGTAACTTACCTTTGTATCATTATAAATTGCTAACCAAGAGTTAATGCTCAGGGTTTTCAAGTGATCTCAAATTCCTCTTTAGGATGGGAACCACCAGGAAGATCGGTCTAGTCCACTTGGTTTTTTCATTAAACCTTCTGGTCTAGTGGGAAGTGTCCCTGCCCATGGCAGGGGGTGTGGAACTAGATGATCTTTAAGGTCCCTTTCAACCCAAGCCATTCTATGATTCTGTGATAAGTAGCTCCAAAAGAAGTTATGTTGTCCACAGTAACAAATAAACAAACAAACAAACCAAAAATGCAAGGAACAAGCAGGAGACCTGAGGCTTAAACACCTGCTTCCAAGCAACATATCAAAACACATCAGTCCATCTACATACAAAGAGTTTAGGACTCCTGGAATATGCCATGCTTCTTGCAGAGTACTACTTATCTAGCACTGTGAAAAACTCTTCAAATCATATAAATTTCAGACGTCACCATCACAAAATCCAGGCACAAATCAGTGCAACATAACAAAAATAAAGGAATACACTTACATAATCTCCTCTTAGACCAGATTCTCCTCGTTCACCTGGTTCTCCTCTGGGGCCTTTTCTGCCCTAAATTCATAAAAAGAACACAAACAATTAGGGTACAAGTAGAAATAGTATCTGTCATAAAGGAAGGCCAGATAAGAGAACACAGATTTGTTGAAGTCAGTGGAGTTATACTGATTTACAGCAGGAGTCACATCATATTAGAGAATAGGCAGCTATTAAACACAACTCAGAGGAATTACAGACAGCATTACACTTTGGAAAGATGTTTCCATAAAATCTAAACATTACTGTAAAGGGTACTTCACCCATTTTCCTCTGTTGCCTTTCTCTCCAGAAGGTCCAGGCAATCCCCGTTCTCCCTAGACTCACAAAAGTGGAAAAAAGAAGAAAAAAATAATGTTTGTTTTTTCTGATAAATGTGGTTATCAGGGTTTATCTGGTAGAATCCAATTTCAATCAGATATGCAATTCTAAACACGTAACAGTGGAATTTCTGTTCAGGATTAAAGCCATAAAACCTGTACTTTTGAACCCTGAGGTAGGTGTCTTTAGTAACACTGCACATGTAATGATTACCTGCTCTCCATCAGTGCCATCGAATCCACTCTCACCATATTCACCCTGTAGCAATAAGCAAAAAACCCCCTTTCAGCATCGGTCCACTTGTCTCTGAGCAAGTGTTCAGCCTACCTTTTTAAACTTGAATAAGGTTAGTTGTTTTCAATGGTTAGCAAGAATAATTAGGAATAATAATTATAAATTTGAATTAATAATTAATATTTTGACAAATTAAGAACATCTTAATTATTTGTTAAGAACAGTTTATAAGAACAACAGTTATTAAAACTATAGATTTTCATCAGTATTTAAATTCTGTTTTTCCTTCTTTTTGTTTTCAAATCTTTTTTCAACTGCAGCATCTTCAATACCTAGATATATTTCAAGCTATAACTACTAGTATTTGATCTATCATGCTGATAACTTTTTAATTTTGATGTCAACCATCATGTGTTTGTATTGTGCTTTTCATTTTTACATAGCTTTATACCGTGAACAGTGCATTGAAAAGCTAGAAAGAATAACCATGACTAAAAAAAATTACAGAAGACTGATCCTAGACTTTACGACTTGTTAAATAAACTTCATAACTCTTTCAGCAATGTGGTGCTTGCTACAAAAATAGCAGTCATCTTCCTTTTCAAACACACATTGCTCTTCTTCTCCCTTTGTCTGCAAAAATGATTCCCCATATTGCAACTGATTATGGAAGACATTTTCCCGCAAAACATCCATTCCTTCTTTAAGGAATTTGCAACGTTAACTTGTGCGAGGCATCTAAATAGACTTACAACTGTGAGAACCTTATTTCATTTATGCATGCTTCACAATGTTTCAGACCTGACCAAATAAGCTTCTTCCATCTTTCTTTACTAGGATAAAAATGAAGGAATTAACCCTGATGTAAATTAACTTAGCAGAGACCACTACTCTGAAAGCTGAAATGATATTCAACCAACCACTGAAAGTGGCACAAGACATCACGACTCTCACTGTGAGAGAGACCACAGATACAATTGCTTCGTAGATTTTGATGCTAAATTGACTTTGCAAAACCACCTAGTTGAAGTTCATGAGAGAGAATTTCTTTTATTTATAATAATTCTGTATGTACAACAGGAAAAAATAGCTGGCTGTACATTTTGATTAGATTAATATGTCACAAACAAGAATTTCTAAATAAGTATTCCAGAAAAATTATGAGCACTAAGTCAGCAATCATGATTTTTATTTGTGTTATTTTTTCGTCACTCATTTTCTACCTCAGAAAACCTGAGCTAAACTTCAAAGCATTAAATACTCAGAATTGCCTTTTTTTCTCCAAATAGCTATGCTAAAATGCCTTGCAGACTTCAATAAACTGCCTCAAGATTACTAAGTTGGCAGAATTGAATCACATTTTTTATGTGTTGAAAGTTTCATATTTTTAGATAAAATCAAATTAGTAGATATAATGACACAATGCCACATATTCATTGGATTTCAGTAGGGTTTGTGCACCTGGTAATTTCTACTCCACTATTCAACTTGGACAAATCAAAATCATCAGCAAGGACTCTCCCTCTTCTATATTCAGATGTTTCAGATATTTAAAGGAGGATAAATTACTTCAGAGAACAGAGAAGAAAATGGAAAAGGAAAGAGAAACATGTGAGAAGATTAAAAAGTTAGTACGGAGCAGGACTTTAAAGAGAGCTGAGGTATCAGAAACACACTCAACTTTCTCACTTCAGTTATGGAGACAAATATCTCCTGAGTCTTTGAGGCTCCCAAGTCTTTTTTAGAAAGTGGGTTTGTGTAAAAGCGTTCAAGTTAATGCCATTTCAATTACTGTAGCTTGGTAACTAATATTGCCATTACAGATCACTGTCTTCCAGGCTTCACATTTTATTAATGAATTGGTGACAATATCTCTTTGATGAACAGGTATGTTTAAAAGGTTAAACGAGACATGCAATAATAGTGGATGACAAGAACAGCATGAAAAGAAGTTTGAATATTGAATAATGTCAATAGTATCAACAATGATCTAGTGAAAGTGCTGTCCAAACCCACAATAAATATTATTCACAATCTTTTTTCCCCCCTCTATTCTGCTTCCTCAACGATTAGAATATGAGATTCACCTGACAAGAATTACCACCTTAATAGATTATCAAATTAATCAGCAAATAAATCCCTGTTAGTTAGAATAAATCAACTACGACCGTAACCACATAAAAATAAAATTATGACTGTTTATTTTGACTAATGTGATAGGTATCTTAAATTCATTCTTAGACAACCATTGCAAAAGTACATTAAATGCTCTGAAACTTTTACACTGTTTTCCTTCTTTGCTGATATTTTCTTACAAGGTAACATGAACTTTAAAGGAAGCAGAACACTGTTCTCAAAGAAAATTGATCACACATGAACACACTTACCTGATTTCCTCTGTAGCCTCTGCCCCCCTTAAATTAAAAATAAACACAGATGAAATTTGGTGAAAGTACTTTTATTGAGCTTGAAAAGCAGGGCACCATAGCTTGCTGTGCATGGGCATTCTGGGCTCCATATCAGTAAGTTCCTACCGTAAACCCTCTACTGCCGCTTATGGGATTTACCCCTTTCCTGTGGGGAGATAGTACAGCCCTCATTTTCATTCTTGTTCCTTAAAGCTTTATAGCTTTAACTAAGGCCAGTCTGGAGCTGTTGGTGAAAAAGTCACTGTCGAGTTGCCTAGACAGCAACATCCTTAGCTGTTGGACCATGCTTCAGTTCCTCAAAATACCTCTCAAAAAGACAGCCCCCGGATTTGTCCCCAGTACAGAAAACAGGTTTGTGGGACACAAAATTAGGAAATATTTCACAGTCACATACTTGCCTTATGGCCTCTAGCACCTGGACAACCCCTGTCTCCTTGAGTCCCAGTGAAACCAGCTGGGCCTCTCTCCCCCTAAGAAACAAAACAAAATGTTCAGGCTCATCCATACAATGATGGTTACTGGTTAATTCATCACATAAGACTAAAGCAAGACAGAATTCTATCACCATTCACTGTGCTAAGGACACAAGTGTAAGTCACCTGGAAATTTTCATACTGACCATAAAAGAGCAGTCAGTTACTAATTTGAGTTGCACCTGGTTCTCTGCTCTCGCTATCATGCCATGTTTCAGACTGCGATACCAACCTCCGACTGAAATCTTTGTACTTGAAGATAGTTTTTTTTAACTGAATAACTAACTCACTTCTGGTGGGTTGTTGTTTTAACTCAATTACTAACTATTGTGATGTGCAGAAGCACAGAGAATCAAATCTGTATATTTACCTGCAGATACATGTTGCTTAAACGCATTTTGGGTTAGCACTGGTGAATCCTCAGTGAGTAAGTGCAGACAGGTTCAGGCACCAACTGTCAGCATAATAGCAGGAAGAAATATGTTTACTTACAACCCCACCTTCCTCACCAGGATGGCCAGGAGATCCTCTGTAACCCGTATTTCCCTGAAAAATGAGAATTTAAAAGATAAGTAGCATTGTTCTCCAAGCACACTATCCTAACAGTTAAGGTCATGGGCACAAGCATGCATGCTCAGAAATATTGCAAAAAACAGAAGCACTTTGAAAAATAAAGTAATTCTTCTGTAATGTCTATGTTAGACCTTCTACCTTCCTTCCCGGACTTCCCCGGACACCACGATCACCATTTTCTCCAAGGCATTTACAAATAACCTTACAGCATTTCCTTTCTGCAACAGTATCCTGAAAAACAACAAGAAACATTTCATTTATGTATATTAATCATAAAGCAAAGACTGATTTTTCTCTCCCATTTGTTTTTACCACAGAAGGACTTACAAGGTTTCTCTGCAAGATGCTTGCAATCTCTGCAAACCCAACACTCAGAGGTTCATTGTATCCAAAGCCTCTGCCAAACTCTATCTCCCAAAATTCAGTCAAGTTCTGTGTACTGTCCAGGCCAACTAACAAGAGTGCATCAAGACCTTCAATATAAGCACAGATTTTAATTAATGAATGCCTGAAATATACTATTTAACCAACAATATATTTTTAAGTAACAGCAATTCTCTAAAAGACTTACACTTCACGGCTTCAACACAGTTATGTTCAAAGAAATCAACCTATTGAGAACAATGTGTAAAAGAAAAATCCAGACCAGTAATTTTCCAATTAACTTCTCTCCCCAGTTGTCAGACCAGATTGCTACTCAGTGCCCAAATATTAGTGTTTTGCACTGCAGAAGTCTGAGTTATGCCTAACCTCTGGTGCTGTACTCGTCAGTGAGAGGGGGCTGACCTGAGTCACATCAGCTGTTGAAGCTGGATCCCAGAAACTAGAACCTCAGCACACCTATGTGTGTTTTTCTGCCATCATCTGACGAACAGTGACAAGTCATGTACTTTGGTTCACATGGAGAAACAAACACTCTCCCAGGGACTCCTGAGGAATGCCACGTGAGAGTGGAGAGGTAACATTATGTGGAAAATTTGCAGTGGGGGAGCAATACACTGGGCCTTGGGTAGGAGGAGGTGGGAGCATCAACATCATACTGTAATACCTTTAAAGCGAAGTGAGTCAGATGCTTTCCTGAGATCTTCCAGCGAATCATCCAGCCCATCTGAAAATACTAACAGAACCTGTCAGGAAAGGGAGTAATGCCAAGTCAATTGTGAAGGGACTGAAAGTTCAGTCATTGTAAAAAGTACAGTTTGCATTGAAAGCTGGCTACAAGGTGGTCAAATTCCACTTCGCTGTGTAGATCTGAAATATGTGCAGGAAAAAAGTGCTGAGGAGCAAGGAGAACAGAACACAAAAGTCTGTTCTCCCTGACAGCACTTGAAGTTGAGGGATTTGTCTTGGTGAACAGTTCATAGCATGGCTATTATGTCTGTCATCTTTTTAGCATGCCAGGAAGGCCAATGCTGCTGTGACTTATCCACTGAAAAACTTTTTCTGATGTCTGAAGAGTTCTCCATTATGTGAATGTGGAAAAGAACTTAGAGCAAACAAATTTTCCCCTTTCTGCAAGAGTAGCTCCAGCTGGCTGTCACTGAGCCACACTAGGAGATGTATCCTCTCTACGTCCAATCCTTCCACCCCAGAGATGCTTATGTTCCCTTGCCCTTTCCACAAAGGTAGTATATCACCCTGCTCCACTCTCTGCCATATTTTATCCTGTTAAGGCATAAGGCTTAGCTCACCTATGGATGCTAATCATTTGTACTGGCTATATTTCCACCTTTTCAGGCCAAAGACCTATAGTTAAGCCTCTTCCACAATGGAGGATAGCATAGTTTTCTACAATTCCCCCTGAGCTACCAGTCTCTTCCTATTTTTCTCCTCCCCTTCCCTCTTCTAACCAGCAGAAGTCTTCTCAGGACCCACTCATCCAGTAAATTTGTTTTCCCAGAAAGAAGCTGCACAGCTAAACTGTCTCCTGTCCCCAGTGGTAATGACTTCAAGTCCTCCTATACTCTGACCAACAAATGGACAAGCACAGCTAGAGCTTCTTCCCTCCTATTCTTCATATTTTACATTCCCTATACAAGACACAGCTTTGACCAATGCAAACCCTTTTGCTCCTGTTAAGATAAATTTTTCTGCAGGTGACAGAGGCAAAGAAAGTGACTACCACACCAAACATTCCAATTCCGTGCTAAAGCAGCAAGGAGACAAGAATTTAAGAACAGGCAGAGCTCACTGGTTTTGGTGGTGTTCCCAAACATCCCATATGGAGGCACTGGTACTGACTCTACATTTGCTCAAGCAAACTGTGATACACAGGAGAGCTGGACCATGGAGGGTTAAACACATCACAGACTGTCAGGAATGACACTGTAGGCCTGGGCTTGATGATTTTTTTCTATAATCTTTTAATTTTAAAAACTTGGGGAGCAGGGAATATGGGGTGTCAGTGCACCCATTATATGTAAGTATATGTAAACTTATGTTTACAAAGCTTTTCTTTATTTTTTTTTCTATTTTTCTTTATTGTATTGTTATTATTGTTTTGTCAAAAAAGGCTGGAATCATGTCCAACTCTTTCGGTGCAAAACAAACAAATAATAAAGAAAAGAAGAAATGCAAACAACAGCAAATCCCTGTCCCCGATGAGGTTTATAACTAATAATCATTACAGAACAAGCATATTATTGCTCAGGATCCTAGGGAAATTAAATTGTGATTTGATTTGCATTCTAAAGTCTTCCATTTTCAATTTGCACATAAACAGTATCAGAAAGAAATATTAATCCATTGGTAAAGTCCTGAGATATGCAGCATTTTTATTTCTAGTAATAATGCATAAGCAGAAAGAAGCCTTGTTTGACTCTAACCTTCAGAATTGGCAATTAGGAGGAAAAAAGCACTGCTTTTTACTGGTATGTCAAACAAGTTCTCACTCTGAGGCTCATAAGAAGCAAAATCTTATGTGGTCATCTTCCCCATTCAGACATTTTAAGAGATCTTTGGAAAAAAATGCTATTAAATATGCAGCAAATTACAACCTAAGCTGATAAGCCACACCTATGCAAATGCTGTAAAAAATGGAATACCAACTTTCATCTGAAAGCAGGGAAATCTGTAATTTGGCTTTCTCATTCCACATGATATTTTAAAATTAACATTTTATAAAAGTTAAAATAAGGCTGAAAGAGGAAACCCCTTATGTATTTTGCAAGGTCCTTCTTCAGTAGGAAGGTCCTACTGCATGGAGACCTTAGTAAGTGATAACATTCAATAGCTACTACAGGACATGCTCAGTGTTTTACTGCGTTAGGGCCTTATTAAGGATAAATTGTCAGGGCACTCACCCTGAAACACTCCAATGAGAGCTAAATTTCTTGAACCCAAGTTGAAAGACTCCCCACTCATGTCAGAAGAGATGAAATGAAGCTTTATACTTTTCCCTTCACTTCAAGATGGATGAATAAACTGCATCTATGCAGATTTTCCTTATCATCAGTTACCCTTAAGTAGAACTCAGCTTTGCTACTGGAAATTATTTGATAAGTTAGCGACATGAATAAACCTCCATAAACAAATTTCTCGGATGACCTTTTTCTGTGACTTCTGCTTAGAGCTGTCGCTGTTCTGGACAGAGATATAGCATCAGGATTAGGAATTCCTAAAAGAGAACAACTTTCCACTACTCAAAGTACAAACATTTCATGGTAGATATAAGAAGGCTATCTGTACGAATAGTTGTCATCATATGTATTAAGACAAATGTTCTGGGTACCATCTCACTGCAGGAGCGCCTAGGAAGCTGGAATTGAAATACATATTTATATCAGGTCAATGAAAAACAGGAGGTTCTATATAAAAATAAGGAAAGACTTTTTATTACATGGGTGACTGAGCACTGGCACAGGTTGCCTGGAGAGGCTGAAGAGTCTCCATTCTTGGAGATACACAAAAGCCATCTGGACATGGTCCTGGGCAGCCTGTTCTAGCTGACCCTTCTTGAGCAGGGGGGTTGGACAAGGTGATTTCCAGAGGTTCCTTCTAATCTCTACCATTCTGGGATTCTGTTTATTAAATTCACATATTCCCAAACAACATTTTTTTCTCCCTGGAGTACTCAGCATCAGGAACTGTAAACATCAAACTGTGTAAGTGCTTTCCAAGATACATGCTCATACCATTAAGTTACCTTAACTTCAGCAGAGGTCACATTAAAGAACTTCTCCTCAAGTGCCTGCAAGAAATCTGTATTCAGGTAGGTATCCACAGTGGCCTGTGCATCTAAGAACTTCTGGATGATCTCTTCATTGTAGTCTTCAAAACCAGAGTCAAAGATTAATTGGTTGGTCTGTGCCAATACTTGGAACTTGAATCTAATGTTGACTGGAGCTTTACAGCTGGTGTTTGGTAATGATTTCATCTGGAGTAAAAGTCTGGGGAGGAATGCTTGCAATCTCTGTTTCAGGAGCACTGTGGGTTCTGGTTGCATGCGCCTTGAAGCATCAACTGCTATAGAAAGATCTATGTTGCAATCTGAAAAAAAAATATATATAAGAAACACAAAACTACAAACATACACTATTTGTGATCTTGGGGTTTTTTGCCAGAATCATGGAAGTGGAACAAAATTCAATATGGTAGATTTAAAACCAGAAGTCAGAATCAGTGAGATTGGTTTTCCATAAACATAAAACACCATTATCCCACAGGTTTCAGTGGGACCACGTGAACTTGAAAATAGTAAGAACCACATTACTGGATGTCTGCACATACCCAAACTGCAAAACATGTCATTGTTCCATCAAATGTCATCAAAAGGCCTAATCTTGAAAACGCTCCTGTGAGCTTTGCTACCGAGAACACGCAACATGTATTCCAATTGCAATAGGAAGCTTGATGGCTGACTGTGGTCTGTCACTTTGTCACTAGACCAGGTGATACATACAAATGTAGAACAGGCCAAAGAAATATGAGAGAAAGAGGCAGCATTGCCTACATGTAATGTTATATAACCACTGTGAAAAACAGCTGCTGTAAGGTGAGGAATTGCTTGTATAGCTCCTTATAATAACAGCAAATACTGTGATGTGGTTAATTCCTTCCCTCTCCCCAGTCATCTTGCCCTCATTAAACAGCTAAACTACATGGCTTTTTTCTTCTTGATTATTCATTTCTCATGTTGTTTTTTGCTGTGTTCCTAGATGCATTAATATTCATTGTCATACTTCTGCAAGGAAGTCAGAGGCAAGCAATTTTAGCTGTAAAACAGCACTACCTAATTTTTTTCCTTCTTCACTCATTGCCTCTGAAACACTTAGCAATCACAAGGTTGTTTTCAATATTGGTTTGCTAGTCTGGGCTAGTTCCTACAGACCATTATTCCAAGTTTTCTGAGTTTTCCCTCTCTCATGAAAAAGATGAATGTGTTCAGTTCTTTAACCAAATACATGTAGAAATAATTTCACCTCAAAGTGACCATCGTTACATTTCAGCAAACTCACCTGTGGTACAAAGTGCCCCCTAGAGGGCATGATCTGCTGGAAAGCAGCATGAGAATTTTTAAATGCAAAAGGTCACACTGAATGAGTCTTTATGGCTAAAATATTCAGGCCTCAGAGCAACATCAAAAATCTATACCTTATCTGTTTAGTCCAAAACAAGACAAACAGTTAAATATATCTATACATGCACACATATCTACACACATTCATGAACATAATATTTAATGGATATTTCTTTCGGTATGTGTTCATGTCCAGGACACAATGAGTATGTTTTCAAAATGAGATTCTTTTAAAACCTGGGTCTTTCTAATGACATAGTTTGGAGACAGTGTGCAGGGCAACCACGGACTCAGCAGTTTTGCCCTGACAATTGGTAATCCACACTGCTTAGCTCTTAAAACATTCTCTGTCAAGTCCCCAGTGTACCAGCAATAACAATAAAACAGCAGTAAAGCATTCACTTCTTGTGCTACTGTCTTGTGGATGAGAATGTGTAAAACAGCTTCTGGTATGTACTCTATACTCTCTTGATAATCTCGATTTGTTTTCAGGAGTAAACACCTCTGTGCCGCCAACCTCTTTTTCTAATCATCTGTTCTCCTACAGACATCCACATTGTTAAACTTCTCTGTCTTGCTGTTGCAAAGGTATCTTTTTCCCCTGTTGACATGCTGTACCTCAAATGTGTTTTTTTTAAATTGAAAAATCTGTTATTTTATGGGAAGGTGACTGGAGAATGGAGACTTAATAGTTTTATTTCAGGCAAGAAGGTCAGTGAATATAAGAATACAGATGAGAGTACAAGATAAAACAGTCTTCACAGAAAGTTGATATTTGTTCTATGAGACAAATTTATGCAGAACTTAGTAATAAATAAACGCGTCACTGAGATCAAAGCCAATATGCTGTTCTTAACTTCTCTCTCTCTAAACAAGTGTGCCTGTATATATATAAACTTTACTGCTGTATCTCCCATTAAATCTCCCTGTTTTCTGGCTATGAAACACCAGGAGGTGCTCCTGCATCAGCCACGGTCAGGCTGTTTCATGGTAGTGCACTCTATTTCCACAGTAGCTCTCTCCCTCTCTCTACTTTCAGGAGATGAGGGATGCCTTTTCATCTGGGGGTCTGCTCAGCTCTTGATGGGAAGAAGGGTGGATGGAGGTGCAGAGCTCATAATGAATCAGGCCTGGCTGTCCTCCTCTCTGCAAACCACCTGAGCAGACATAATTCACACAGTCACTTCTGTCTTTAGGAGGGAAGGCTCAGCTTTTCATTTTGGCCCCCCAGCACCCCAGCAAACACTAGTCAGTTTTGGAATGCTTAAGATCTTACTAGCTTAGGGTACAGGAGAGGCTCAGATGTTCTTACAAAAAGCCTTAGACAAGCAGAGTGGTCATCCCAGCGTTCCTTTCTCACGGTAAGTTTCTGGTCACTAGGGGAATGAAACCTGGAGAACTGGGTTGGATCAGCTTTATGGCATAACAGAGAATGAAAAGCACACATCCAACACATGTAAAATATCACCTACATAGTGAAAACACAGGGAAGACAAGGAACTTTAAAAGACAGTCACAGTCCCTGTAAGTACGAGTACAGAGAGAAAAAACACTCCAGAAGTCTCTTCCTGCTATGTCCAATCAATGCCATGCACTTACACCACAGCAGGTCCCCCTCACCATCAGTAGAGGAAGAGACCAGCTTTTTGATTTGTCATTCACTCCATTTTTCTTTTTACTACTTAAATGCATCTACAGTGTTATCTAACTACATAACTGGTATGAATATGTAATGTTAAAGAGCTACTGTCTATGTTCTCTGCTTCAGTCTTCCCATAGGACAAGGCGACTGATACTGCAGTACTATGTCAGAATAAACTCAGATAAAAAACCAGCATCTGACATCTGATAGAAATTGTTATTTTAATCAAAGGCAATACTGAACCTTTATTTTCCTTGGGGGTGGCAGCCTCTCAGGCTGTGTGGCAGCCAAGCCATTCTTGCCATCAAGAAGATGTAGTAAGAGATACCACTTTCTGTTTCTTATCTAGGAAAAGCTTTTGGGTAGCATCTCAGCATTACTGTGGGTTTGCTGTTCACATCTTGCCAATACCTCCTCACGCCCCCTCTCCATAGAGCCTCTGCGAGACTTCAGTTTTGTCAACAGTTGCTGCTGACAGTCCCAATGAAGCAGTATGGTCAGCTATAGATGACAAAGTTAGGTTTCTGAAAGGTTCTTCTTTAAATATCACTGAATTGTCTGTTACCCTCTTTTGATTAAGATACTCACTGGGGATGTCTGCTTTGGCTCCTCTCAGACACTGAGCAGCTATGAATATGAAAGCTAGATGTGAAGTACTGTCTTACCTCAGAAGCTATTTACCATAGCAAAGAGTGTAGTGGCTCTTGACTGAAGCAAGGTGCAAGTTGCGAGTTGCAAACGGAGTAACATGGGAAGTATTCTTTGGTTAAACAGTTAGATTGCTGTCCATCCAGCTGAGATACTTTTATCAGGGACTGCACAAAGCCATTATACACCTAATAAAATGTTTTTTACTCATCCTGGTCAGGGAGATGTTTGGATTGACAGACCCAATCGACAATATTCCTTTCGATGGGTTTCAGTGTGTCAAGGCTTTCCACTGTGAACATTCCCCTTGCATCATCAGCTATTAAAAGCAGCTCAAAGGGAATTTATAATCCCTATGCCAACTTCAAAGACATGGATCTCATTGCTACTCAAAGCCATTGCTGCATCCTCTACCCTGTCAGCAGAGTAGTCACTGAAGAAGGCTCTGGACAAGCCTCAGGCCTTTGCCATAAACCACAGCAGACTGCAATTGCTTTATTCTGTTGATCGTTCCTTTATCGTGGTGCCACTGTAGAACTCATTAAAAGGAAATTCTTTGTGGGGCTCTGGGCTGTGCTGGACTACTCCAACAACTACTCTGTCCCTAGAAATAACAAAGTTGTCCACAACTTCCATCACGAATGTCTTTGTGACAGAAAAGTTTTTTATATGCTTTCTGATCCTTTCATCAGGAATACAAGATCTGCCACAAGACTGCTGCAAACTTAGAGTAAAAGCAGTGGCAAAAAGGTGACCAACTAACACAGCATCTAACCCCTAACTTTTCCTTTTCATTGAGATAAAACTAGTGGAGGTACCCACATTGAACTCTGCAAAATCAGGAAAAAAGGTAAAAATTTAAAATTGTAACTATGTTACCTTTTAAACATTCATTATTATTTTGAACACCATTTTTTTGTTCTGATTTTAGTTTTTATTTCTCACCTCTTTTTATATCCCTCCCCCTTTCACCATTCAACAATAACAGTCCTTAAAGAAACAGGGAAAATACATGTTCTGCAAATTTTGCTGTTCAGCAAATGTATTGAACAGGAAAATATGACTTCCCTTCATTTTTGTAACTCCTAGAATGTTCAATTTATGAACTAGGTTTTTAGAGGAATTAAAAGTTACCAAAACCATAGCTTAATCAAGAATAAATACCCTGTTCAACTGTTCAATTACATCCATTTTCTAAAAATGACTCCACCAGCTCTGAGATGAATTGTTCTAAAAAGAACAAGAGGGAATTTTTCTTTTTACCTTTCCCCTGCATCACTTTAAAAGAAACATGTTGAATGAGGAGCCGAATATACACCACAGAATCTGTGAATATGACCCTGATTTTCTTTACAATACATTAAGGCTCAGCTTCAGAGAGAACTGAGCACAAGCTTACCTTCCTATTTTACCAGTTAAACCTCTCTGAATTCAGTGCAGACATTGAAATGTGATAAAAAGGGAGGTCAGCCTGAACTGCAACCTAACTCAAAATTAGCCCTATTGTTTTCAGTCATGTTACATGACAAGAACACTGATGTAAATGACAGCAAAACCAGCACCAAAGCAGAAGCTTCCCCAAAGTCTTGTGGTGAGATCTGGAAGGTCATCAAAACTACCAGCACTACACAGATACCTACCAAAAGGTTTGCTGGCTCTTTGCTGAAGATTAGCTGTATCCTGCACACCAGTTCCAACAACATAGAGGGGAATGCCTCTGATGTTCCTCAGTTTCCTGACAGGCAATTCAACTTCACGACTGGATTCTCCACCAGTGATTAGAATCACTAGCTGTGTAACAAAGCCCTTAGCCTTGCTTTCTGTAGGTTGAGTGAAATACACTGGTTTAAAAAACCCAGAGCTTTCCCTATGTAAGTTTTTCCACTCCTTTACAGTAAATTATCAACCTGCTCCAAAACATCACTTTTCATATACTGATTCAGCAAGAGTTCTTGTTAAGTCTCATCACTGTATTGTGCCAGTCCAACTTGGTCTTGCACCAAGGCCAACATCAAAACTTGAAACCAAGATGAAGAGGAGGAGTTCACCTTGTTAAAGTTTTCCTGATCAATAGGCATTGAGGTATCCACTAAAGACAAAACATCTAGTTAGGTTTTCCTGCTAACTGCCCAAGAAAAGGTAGATAGAAGAATTAATTACTATAGCTCCTTCTCTGGCTTTGTTCAGGAGCAAGGAAGAACTGCGTGTACATTTTATTATTCATGAAATAAATTGCAACTGTGTTGCCTGTTTCTGCCTTTCCCCTCCTCACCTCACCTTCTCCCCTACCACCATTATTTTGAATATTTTAATGGTAGACAGGCACTCAAATTTTACCAGTTATGACTTGATATTATTGAAAGCTGGTTAGCAATATATGGAAGATGCAAGAAGTTAAAACCCGTATTTTGGCAACACACTGCAATTTCATGTACTTAGTGTGTGGATAGAGAAAAATAAACCTGGAAAGACAACAGCTCTTTCAGGCCATACCATGGGCAACCTGGGTGGCTGGTCCAGTTATCTCCTCTAACACAGTACAAAGCATCTGCAGATTTACTGGAGAGAGTCCTTGCAGAGAATCAGTATCTTCCACTTCATAGGCATGCTTATCAGCTGGCTCATTAGCTATTTCTAGAAGCCCAGACAAAGCAGATCCTTTCAGACCTGTGGTGTACATGATGCCAGCATCTTTGAATGCTGTGGCTGGGTTTTGAATATTGTTTTCAGCCTCTTTTTTTGTAATCACCAGATAAATTTGAGGAACCCCTTTAACCTTTTGGCTATCAACACTTGCTACAAAGTGATTCTCTAGCATAAAATGGAGAGTCTGCCCAGTTTTGGTGTCTCCTTCTTTGTAACATAATTTCTGTATCTTCTATAAGGAATCATTCTTGTTACAGAAAATGTTCAACAAGAATTCAGTGTATGTCACATCACTGTACTGAATTATACCAACATAGATTTTGTCTTGCCCAATATCAAAGCCATTGACCATTGTGTAAAAGGTATCTTGAATGATCTTGAAGTTCTTTATCCCTGCAGTCCAGAATTCATCCACCAGGAAGATGTTGTCCGTCACAGAAGCTTTTTTACAGACTGAAGAAGTATATTGTAACTTTCCTCTTCTCCTAAAGGTTGTATAATCTAATAGAAGAGCAATTTTGAATCCTAATTGCTTTTCAGAATCCAAGATCTATTGGCCTTTTACAAAAAAAACCTTTTCAACTAAATTCTCAGCAACCACTACTTCCTTATTTTCCTCTGTTTATCACACAGAGGGTCAGAAACCACGTCCTTCTGCAACACCATTCTCAGGAAAAGGAGAGATGCTGAAATCCACAACACAATTTCCATTCACAGCCTGCCCAGAACTTGTCTGTAGTAAATGCATATTACACACTTCTTTATATGAAACACAACCATAAGAATGTGTTTGCCTGCTGTCAACTGAGCAAAGGAAACCTTACTCATGCACTTTGAACTCCACTGTGCACACATACATTACTAATAAATATTTGTTTTCTGAGGGGCAAAAAATAAGGTCACATCAATTTGAAGAGTACTAACCACATTTTCTTGTAGTGAATATTAAATTCATGTGTTTCCACACCTTCCAGAAGCATATGACATTAGTACAGCATGGATGAAACACTTATCATTTCCTCAAACCAACAGTCATGCAGAAAATGTCCTGCAACTGGACAGAACACTTTCTCAAACAGATCTTCCAGAAGACCCGACTACCAAAATGGAACTGCTAAATCCTGTGACTTATCTTGCTTTTAGCAGTCATACTGCTAAAGGGTTTTTGTTGCTTTGGAAAATATGAAATCTCAGCATTCACGAACAAAACCAGATTTTAATGAGCTGTTGCATTTAATTTTGCATTTTTTATGACAACCCTCCTATTATAGAAACTTACAAATATAAGTTTCATAAAAGCACAGCACGTTATCCCTAGTTAGAATACATTTTCATCAATTCATCACATCTCTCTGACACTGGGCATAAATGTAAAAAAACAATCAAAGAATCATTTCTTTAATGTATTACCAGTCTCCTGTGCATCTATAGAGCAGGTGGAAACACAGAGAAGAAGAAGAAGAGGTTTCCAGCCATCCATTTTGAAAACCTTCCTAGAAAAAAAAAAATCAAAACCAAAGACAGTGAGAAATACAGAGCATAATTTCCTCAAAAAAAGGTTTCTAATTGTGGAGGAATTGGGTAAGTGCATTTTATTGACAACATGGAGGCTTTCTAACTGTATGCAATTTAAAGTAGCACTTTAAATTCATATTTTTTTCCCCTTAGCTTTTAACATGCAGGCTTTTAACACAAAGCTGTTAAGACTTTGACACTGATGTAGAGCATATAACCAAAATGAACTGTTTACTGCTCTGCTTTCACAAACATGCTTTGTTCTGATTCAAACAGCTATATTTACCATGATCTAAAATTCAACTAAAAGCAAGATATTCACAGTGTAAGATTAATGGTAGTTATGCCTCTAAGATTCCCTTCTAGCCTTGAAATTCCCTACCCACACATCAATTTAAAAGGAAAATTTGGTAATGGTATCTGTACACAATGCACATAGGTAAGAACAAGCATTCATTTACAAATGAAAAAAATATGCCAGTTGGGCAGTAATAAAGACACTTGCCATATAAAAGTGACAAAGCCCAATGCTGTGGGAAATGGGAATCAAAATCTCCCAGCTGGAAAGTACAAAATTAAGCCATGTTGCATTTAAGTACAGTAAACAAATGAGAACAAACCAGTTATGGATAACTTCCAGTTCTAGGACACACATAAACTTAATGGCACTGTTAACAACTCATTATCTTATACTGTAACTCAGATCTGCAAAGACAATTTAGTAGAAAGGCTACAGCTAGTCTAACATTACAGTGTAGGGTTCAGTTCCAGGTTCTTATGGTAACAGTGTGTGTAATATTATCCTAGGTCTTGTAAATAACAGAAAGGAATGAATAGAAATCCTCTGCTTGAATCTATATTCTGCCCTCAGGCAAGAGCAAAACTTCATTTCCAAGTATCACCACACCAAGCTCCATTGTAGCTCTTGAAGTGTTCTTTGGAACCTTTTCCTGTGGGGAGAATAAAGCCACATTTCCTATATTTCAAGACATTTATCAGATATGGGCAATCTTTACTATTATTAGCACTGCAGTAACACAGAGATTCTAGGTCTAACTGAGGTCCCTATGCAACAAAAGAGGTTCCAAGTATTATGTGGTCCTTAACAAAAACAAAATGTTGGGGTTGGTGCATTGAAGAAACTTTCTCATGCCTCTGCGCATCAGTTTCCTTTAATAAGCACCTCTAACATAAGGGAAACTGCAGTTTGTCATGCATGAAAACACAGCAGATAAAAACCTTTTGTAAGCATCTTATATGCCTCTTCATGATTAAATTTTTCTGGGATTTAATTAATTTTTCTGTATATATTACTGAGAGTTAATGGCTCTCTTAAGAGCTCTCCTTGATCACTTTGATAGAGATTTGATCCCCAGTTATCTATTTTCACTACTATGCCTCATTACATGGGCCTCTGTTTTAGACCTTATTAAGCTAAAACTTTTTACTGAGGGACAATTAAATATTTTAATGGTATGCAAAAAAAAAAGCTTACTAACTTCCATTACCATATTACACAATACCTATTTTGATAACACAGTTATTGTGCCACAGCAGCATTCACATCTTGAACTCTTTGGTTTTAATAAATTGCACACAGATCTACAGACCCAGCTAGATATGTACATATTCAAGGGCAGATAAGTAAAATGCTGTCAGTATTTACAAAGCCTCTAATTAGTGTTTCGCTCTAGAAATATTCATTTTGTGAAAATCTCAATGGTATCAATATGACCAAGCTTCCGTGTGGCTGCCCACAGTCAGTTAAGCAAAATGCAGCTGGAGTTTTAGCAAGGGGCTAGACTTCCCTCAATTATGTAAACATTGAAATTTCATACCAAAATCTAGATCTTACTATTACAGTATACAAAATAATCAGTGACTGTTCAGTTATGCAACTATTTCCATACTTCCTAACAGCTGTCAGTCTATTTTCCTCTTTTAGCTTCTTCCAGCCTCATGACTCAAGAACGTTCCCTGCTCATTGGGTCATATACCCTACACTAACAAAATCTCTCTCACTCTTCCTAAACAGTGAGTGCAGATGGGAACATATTTCTTACTTGCCCTTTGTTTTATCCTTCATTAGCCCCAACTGAGATCAGGCAGCTTCTTTAAATACACAGGAACATTGCAACTTAAAAAGGCTGCACACTAATATTCCTATTTGTACCATTTATTTATTTTGCCTTATCTTCACATAGGAAATTCCAATCATGAATTACAAGCTGCATAAAAAACCAAGCTGCATAAACAGAAGTACTTTAGGCTTTCTATGTGCATTCTTCATTATTTGCTAATGTAAAGCGAAAGAAGTAATTTAATGGAAAATTTGTGTCATGCAGTTCATAGATATTATGGGCAAAAGCCTAAATAAACTAACTTAGAAACATGCACTGTTACACAGCATTCCCAATTCTGCATATTACACTAGTAATATCTTAATTCTAAAACTTATTTGAAGGTAAAACTGAATATACAAGGTTCTAGCATAAGGTACTTAAATATGCATACCTATAGTTGTTTATATAAATATATATAAGTATAATCTATGTAAGGTGCTAAGACGGCAATTCTCAAAAATCTAAGACATCTTTTATTTTAGGAGACAACAGTGTGAAAGTTATTGAAAGTCCTAAGAAAAACACACATATTTTAAAGTTCATTTTACCGCCAGCATTTTTCCTTATTTGTTCCCAGAGATCCAGCAATATGTATATAAATCTCGAAGGAAAAATAAGATCAACAGTATTCCTGAGTTCTTTAATTGCTTTACAGAGATTACTTGACACTATATTTTGTTTTTCTTTTTTAATCAACTACTGTACCAATTTTATCTTCAGCTGCTTCAATGTTTTAGGCAGGTAAAAAAAAGTAATTCTGTAGATTTTTGCTGCAAGAACAAAATGCACCATCAAATATCAATACACTTCTTAAGCACACTGTATAAAGAATGAAGATTTTGAAGCAACATCTCTTTTACACCTATAGTCTATAACCATGTTGCATACAGCATCTTCCTGCAACACCCTGATTTGGGGATATTTTCCCTCTTCCATTTGTATATACTAAGAAAAGGAATATAAACTTTCTTGTGACAATTTAAAATTCCATCTCTCCCAGCACAAATAAATGTGATCACATAGTTTTCTCCTACCTACTGAAGTACTCCAATTAGATTTCTTCAACTTTTACACGCTGATTTCATTCCTTCTGAAGTTTTTGAAATAAACCCAAGTCCTGAGTGCAGCAGACAGACAGATTCAGCTCACATGCCCCAGTTAGTTATCCCTTTCCTCCACCTTCCCCTTTTCTCTCACTAAAGCAAATTTAAAGCCTGGAATCCATCTGTGGAAGTTCCTGGTTTCACCAAACAGTAAACCGAGGGGAAACCCATCCCATCCTCCCACTCCACCACTCTCCTCATACATCCACATGCTGAACTTTCACATTGAGACATCACAGTACCAGAGGAAAGACAAATGTTGCTGTAAAAATAATGCAAAATATTTTCTAGGTGTCAGCTCTTTATATAAAGGCAGAAATATTTTTGTCAGTTATCTCGTCTCTACAGGCACATTTTTTTCCCTAGAAGTACATTATCTTTTTGCTAGCCCTGAAATGTCTCAGGAAGAAAGTTGCAGCTTTACTTATTGCAGGTTTCCTAGAGAAAAGAAGAGTTTCCTAACTATTCCAGGTACAATCACGTGGCCAGACACTGATTCAAGCAAGAAGACCCTGGGTGACTTACCTAACTTAGGAAGCCAGCCTGGTCAACATGAAATGCAAGATGTTTCGAGGAGTGGTTTTGTTTAGCAGGTCAAGCAGACATAGCTGAAAAGGGTGTGGCCACAAGGGCAGAAACACCCCCACATACAGACAGAGGTACATACAAGCACACAACCAGCCCCTTAAGTGTCTGCACCCTGTTTTAGAAGGGAAAATTGACTGACACTAAAAGTCAGTTTATTTACTGTTGGAATGAGCCTGTCTGTGAGCAAGTGGGATGAATGTTTACGTGATGACTTACTTTTA